CCCCCCCAACAAAAAGCCCCCAAAGAGTAATAATCCTATACATCCCTCCATCCGTCCCTCCCAATCCATCCATCCATCCATCCATCCCTCCTCCTTCTTCAAAAATCCCAAAAAAAACACACACTCTCTCTCTCCCGCCTCGCACAGGAGTCAAAACAGTAAGTAAACCGCAGCCTATCCAATCCATCTTACATACTGCGCCACCACCACGACCCATAAATGAAATGGATTCTGGTTGGTCTACGGATTAATCGAGTAATTCGGATTTCAAAGTAGGGATTAGGGAAAAGGGATTAATTAGGATTAGGGGATTAGGATTGGGAATTTGGGATTGGGGATGAGTTGGGAGGGTTAAGATAGGTAAGATAAGGTAGGTAGGGAGGGTTTGAAATACCTGAGGGATGGGTCGGTCGATTTGATCGAGAGAAGGTATATGAGATTGCAAGCACAAGTCACGGAATTTTCAAAGGGATTCATTCATTTAGGTAGGTACAGTACCTAGGTTGGCAGATTCGGGTATCATTCATTTTCTGAACGCCATCCGTTCATTCATTCATTCTCTTCTATGTAACAGGGCGGGGTACCAAACGGGGTAAAAAACGACATCATGATAGAAGGAGGAGGAGGAGGAGGAGGCAAAAAAGGAGATTATTCCGTACCGAGTCGTCTTCTCGTGATCAACTCATTCCAGAGCCATCATATATTCCCAACCATTTCTTCGTGATTTGAGGAATCCTTGTGAATCCCCCCACCCTGAACGCCCGCAATGCAACGCTGAAAGACCGGCCGTCGTCGAGTGACGGCTATACCTCTACCTCTCCCCTACTTGCTTTAAGTGCAAGAGCAATCTAGACATTTCTGTAAGGTTCGTACCCGCCGCCAACCCGCTGTGGAGGTGCGCCGTAACCGGGTGCGCCAGGGGCGTACGAGGGTGCGATGTTCTGGTGGTTGTGGACCTGGATAGGGACGTAAGGGCCCTTCTCGATGTTGTTTCTGCGTTGGTGGTTGCCAGCGCAGCAGCAAGTGCTGAACATCCAGAAGAGGCCGCTGCCGAGGGAGAAGCCGACTGCGGCCCAGGTCACGCCAAGGAAGGAATCGCCCATAGACTGGGTGACGCCGAATTGCTTGACGGTGCGGTTAAGGGCACCGACGATGATGGCTGAGGCGACGGTGGCTAGGATCGAGGCTATGATGATGACGCTGGTGGAGAAGCCTGAAATGAAGCAGGTGATGCAGGAGCCGACGCGAGAGCAGAAGGCGAAGAGCCCGACGACCAGCTCCAACCCGGTGAGTATCAGAGCAATGATGTAGACGATCTGGGTCCACCTCGATACCGTGGCATATGTGTGCAGAGCGTCGGTGATGTCCTTCGGGAGCGTGATGTTCTGGCCGGTGAGGGCAATGCTGGTGGCCGAGATGTTGGCCTGGAGCTTTGCGGGATTCAGCTCGCTCGCAGCCCAGTTGTAACCCGACTTGCTGCAGACCGTCGCATTCTTGGCGGCGGTCTGGTAGCAGTAGTTCCACAGGTAGACCTGGTATGAATTCCCGATTCCAAGATCTGCTGCGCTGACGTTCTTGTTGCCGGCAATACCTGCAATGGCGGACTCGATGGAGCTGGCGCTGGAGAGGGTGGACGAGGGAGCGATAGCCTTGCCATTTGCCAAGCTCTCGAGCTGGTTGACGCCGACGGTCAGGTTCTTGGGGCTGACCTCGAACATCCAGATACCCTTGTTGGTGAGTCCGGCGGTCATGACAATCAGGATACAGATCAGACTCGCGATGGTCATGATAAAGGGCAGCGCCACGCAGAAAACTCGTCCGACACCCATCTTGGAGGATTTGTCGGGGTCAAAGAGAGGAACGGATAGGTGCGAGGACTGGATACGGACAGGCGGAAGTTCGAAAGCTCGAAAAACCAAACGAGCGATGTGGTGATGGAAAAGTTTTGATAGGGACAAGAGAACAAGAGCGGAGGGGTTGTTCGTCTTGTAGTTGTGTCTGTCGTCTCTTCCCTTTCTCCGGCGACGGACTGTTTCGAGAAGAAAGAGAGGGAGGGCAACAGAGGAAGGGTTTTGGGATTGTTATGTAGGAGGTGGAGATGGAGGAGGAGAGGAGAGGGACGGCGTTGTCTGGGAGGCGCAGTAAAGATTGGAATTTATAACAGAAGACCCCACTGGGTATGACTGTCGCGGATTGCTGTTGGCAGTTGGCAGCCCAACAGCCTGGACCAAGACTCGCAGCGCAGGGGGATCGTTGCTCGGGTGGCTGGGGCACTGGGGATCGTCGTTGTCGTCGTCGTCAGGGTGAGGATGAGGATGAAGAGGAGGAGGAGGAGGATGATGGAGGGCTGAGCATCATGGATGTTGTGCGAGGATATATATATAAAGACAGCAGCAAGATCGACGTCCCTATGGTCTTCCAATACTTGAACCCTTCATTCAGTCTTCGTTCATGGTCACAGACATCCGAGACATCGTGGCTCAGGCTGCCTCAGGCGCCAAGGCACCCAGAAAAACCCGGGTTCCTGGCCCACCCGCGGCCCTTCCTCATTATTACCGGTTCTGCCTTGCTCCGCCGGATTTCTATAAATACATCCGCTAAATACATCCGCAAAATACGGTAAATTAACCCGATACGTCAATAAATAAATAAATAAATATTGCGGCATTCGAGATATCTGACTTACGTAGACAGCATTCGTACGCATCGGGGAACTTGGACGTCCCGTTTACCTTCTGCCAACCATCGCTCGAGGATTCCCCTTAAGCCTACAGATCGGCAGAGCGAGGGCATTCCGGAGGAGGGATTCCGGGGCTGAGCCTGGGGCCGCGTGTGGACATGCATCTCTCCCCCGCCTTGGCTGTGAGGGCTGATCCGCAGCTGTCAAAGCTGGGAGTCTTTTGAAGGCAACATTCCCGAGTATAAAATGCTGTCTCGACTTTCTCACGTATAAAAGTCTCATCCAATCCTCCAGTGCCCGAGGATTCGGACCTGGGTTGTTTGTTTCCATCTCGTTCTGCTCTCCTGCTCTGCTTGCTTGATACTTGGTTGCTTCGATTGAACAATGTGCCTGCTAGCTCGCGGCCCGGTACAGCGTCTACGTGATACTTATCAGGCTTTTAAGCAGAAGTCCTGCTTGAATCATATAAAACTAATCGTTATTTTGGCTGCTCAGATGCAAAGTTGCAAAGACTGTCAACCTTCTTCTCGGGCTTAGCCGAGGTGACTGGCTAATATTTTCTTCTACTACTCTTTCTCGACATCTAAGAAATATCAAGAGAGGACCCAATGACTTCTTGTCCTGTTGGATGTCAAATGGGTTCCTGAAGCGCCAACAAGTCGCAAAGGCCCAGTTGGCACTGCACTCCCTACCTTTCTCCCTCTTCCAATCACTCAATACATGATTCTACTTCCTCTAGTGAATCAATCCAGGTATTTACCTCTACTCTTCGTCATACCACCCCTTCAACACGCGTTTGTTCTTAACACGGAGCAGTGCTCTACACTTGGAGGAGTGGATGACCACCCATTGTTCAATTGAGTCTTCAGAGGCTTGCAGTCTTCTCCAGCACACACAAGTGCCACGGCTATTCCCAAGATCCATCATGGATCAGGCAATGCCGAACCAGATCAATCACGAACACCGAGAGCTCGTGGGTCCCAGTGGGCATATTACGAGCCAACGTTACAAACTAAAGAACCTCCTTGCTATCGACCCTCTTAGTCAATCTGCCGCCCTGCCAGATCTCAGGGAGTCCTCAATCATCTCTCCCACTTGCACAAACAGGATTATGAACTCTGCATTCCCTACTAACAAAGATACGACTGGGACCAGCACAAATAGCGATGATATGATGCATGCCGCGAGGCTTGCCTCTTCAGTACCCCCAGCCATATCCAGCAGAGCCTCGTACTCACACCTTCAAGTACCAGCAACGTTCTTCCCCCGCTTCCTTGCGATGCCCGAGGAGTTGCAGCTCCACATTCTCCGCTTCATACTCTTCACTCCCCGGTTCATCGAGGTTCGCCCAAATTGTCGCAACGTCCTCAGATTCCATGCCGACCAGCCAGCCCTCATGCAAGTGTGCCGCAAGATCCGCTATGCGTTCCTGAACATCTACCCGCAGTCCTTCCGCCTATTCAAGGAGCGCATCTACGTCAATCCGTGGGTCGACACCATCGTCGTACACGACACTTCTCTACACAGCTTCTTCGACCTCGCGGATCGGTACCCGGCCGCTGTCCGACGCGTCGCTTTCCTCTGGAGCGGCCGCGGGACCAGGGAGACCGCGCTCCGGATCCTCTGCTTCGCGCAGACCGTCGATCTGCAAGAGCCGATCATCACGGCGTGGGAATTCTCCTGGGACTACAAGGCGCGGACAGGCGTCGCCGGCTTTATAAACAACGATGTCACAACAACGGATCAAGATATAAGCTGGCTAGGCAATTGGATGGGGACCTTCCAGGTACAGGATCTGCATCCGGATATTACAGTGCCGGATATTCGGGAGATGGTGCTCGTGCGCCCGGTGCCGGCCATGACGGATGCGGATGCACGACTGAGACCGTGGATGTTGACCGTGGATGTTCCAGAGGACGACACCGAGAGTATGGAGGAGTGAAGCTTGAACCTGCCGTGCGGACAATATTGATCCTCTAATGACTTGCATACAGCAGGATAGGTATGGCCAGCCCTGCAAATAACAATGTAATAAATATGTGTAAGTATAAAAATTAAGTGCAAGAAATCTCCGCATATTAACATCCCGGGATTTCTAAACTAAAGTACCTACCTAGGGCAGCACCAAATGCAGGCTTTTCAACTACTTGATATTCCCATCCCCACGTTTATTGTGCTACTCCTTACCCCTCGTCTTCTCCCCATATACCTTACTCCACCTCTCTCTCCCTTTCCATACCTACCGTCCGCATGCTAGGTTTGTTTCTAATACAACCCAGAAACTAGGGGATCATCGACACTCCTCTTTTTAAGACCTTGATAGATGATCGTAATTGGTGATGTACCTGTATGGATCATAGTACTTACATAAGGTACGTAAACAAACCACCCTGATTCCTATACTCAAAGGGTTGTTAAGGGGAGAAAGAAATCACCATACTTCCGTCCTACCCACCCAAGATGATCTCTTCCTCTGTTCTACCGGCGTTATAATATCCTCATCCTCCTTCTCATCCTCCTTATCCACTCTCAACCTTTCCCCCCTCCCTCTCCCCATCTCTATCCCAGTCCCACCACCCATCATCACCCTCCCAAACACACCTCCCCTTCCACACAACTCTTCAAACCCGCCACTCTCCACCAACCTCCCCTTCTCCAGCACCAAAACGCAATCCGCAACCTTTACCATCTCCAAACTATGACTCACGAGCACCACCGCCACGCCCTCGCCCACCAGTCTCCCCACCAACTCTTTCACCAACTGCGCATTCCCGCCATCTAACGCGCTCGTCGCTTCGTCCAGGATGAGGAGTTTGGGCCGTCTGACCAGAGCCCGCGCTAGCGCGAGCCGCTGCGTTTGACCCCCCGAGAGCCCCATGCCCCCATCGCCGATCAGCGTCGAGTAGCCGGCGTCCAGAGACATGATGAAAGAGTGAATACCCGCGTGAGCAGCGGCGCGCTGCGCGGCTTCTAGACTATGGAAGGGCGAGGATTCGGGGAGCCCGTAGATGATGTTCTCGAGGATCGTGGTCGGGAAGAGGAGTGGTGATTGTGGAACGATGGAGATGTGCGACCGGAGAGAGTGGAGGTTACAGGAGCAGGCTGGGATCCCGTGGAAGGTGAGTGCTGGGCCTGAGAAGGTGTGTGAGGGGGCATCGGGTGGGTAGAGGTTCAGGAGGAGAGAGACGATGGTGCTTTTTCCTGAGCCGGAGGAGCCGACGATGGCAGTGCAGGTTCCGGGTTTGATCTCGAGAGAGATGCGATCGAGGGTTTTGATAAAGGGTTGGCTGGGGTGCGTGAATGAGAGGTTGTTCATTCGGATTGGGAGGGGTGTTGGGACGCGGATCTCGCCTTGTGTTTCGTGGGAGGTGTGGAGAGGGAGGTTGGCTAGACGTAGCATGTACGTAGCTGTTGTCCGCGAGGATGTGATCTGTGGCACCATGGAGAGCATGGCGGTGGCATTAGAGATGCCAAAGAGGAGGAGGTTGACCACTTCGATGACATTTCCCAGAGAGTGGGAGCCAGAGCAGATGAGCACGGTGCCGTAGTAGAAAACTAGTGCTATGATGAAGAAGGTAAGGGAGTCTGTGAGTCCATAGAGTAAACCTGAATATACGGCTCTCGAGATGCCCGTCTTGCAGGTATCAGCCGCAGCTCTGAGGTGTTTCTGCTCAAAATGGCTTTCCAGGGTGAGAGCTCGGACAACTCTGATGTTGGTGAACGTTTCGCTGAATATGCTGCTAGTGAAGTCCGCATCTCTATTGCATCTCTCTTCCCATTTACTGCTCACTAAATGGAAGAGCCGTGTGAAGGCGTAGAGAATAGGTGCGCAGCCAAGCGCAACAAGAGTAAGCTTCCAGACTATTATAAGAGACCAGACGACGGTGATGCCAAGCATCCAAACGATTGTAAAGGCAGGGCCAGCAAAGCGACCCACCAGATTACGCATCTCTTCAGCGTTCCTGTCTAAACAATCATTCAATCGACCAGGCGAGTTGCTTTCCTCGTCAAACCAAGATTTGGGTTGAGCAAGAATACGCTTCAGTGCTTCGAGTCGCAAGGAGTTGATCCATGATTGTGCACTGTATTCCAGTGCGTAGTGCGTACAGAAGCTGGCGGATCCATCTATGACGGCAACGGCAAGGAGAGACAAAGCCCATTTCAGTGCTGCGGCGGTTCGATCTTCTCGAGGAAGATAGAAGACATTCAGTAACTGAGCAAAGACATAGGCAAAAGCAGGAGTGCCGGCTGCTACTATGAAAGCAGCAAAGAATCCAAGCAGGAGGACCATCTTCCCTTTCCATGTGAGGATAGGCCAAATAGTGCTGAAGATCTTGGTTAAGGATGCCGGCGGCAACTCCTGAGCATCCTCGGTTATATGGTCCGGAACCTTCTCTCGCGTTGATTCTCCATGCTTCATATCTTCGAAGTTCGATGAAGGAATAGGACTTGGGTTATAATCCGTGCCTTTCCATGCTGATGATGGAGGAGGGGCTTGAGGGGATGGTCTGGGCGACATAAATGAAAGATGTAGCCGCGGTATGATGCTCGTTTGAGGAGAGTCAGTAACGTGAGGGGATGGCCAAATCAGATCCGAACTCAAGGAACTTGCTTGTGCAACCCCAACCTTTAACGACAGACGATTATCGTTCCCAGAGCTCAGGCCAATATTGGGGGAGTTTTGTGGCATACCGAAGACCTTGGAGATGTAGCTCCAGCGCTGAGAATAGGCCTCTTCGGGTATCTCAACATCGTTGGTGAGAGAAGAGGGTTCGGGTTTCTTGCTCAATCTCTTGGCTTCCGAGCTGGTCTCAGAACGTAGAATAGATGCGAATGTTCCGTGTGATTTGTCGGCCAACTTTTTGCGATAATCCTCTTGAACTACCTTTGCATGATCCAACACGTATACGTAGTCATCATCCAGAATCTGTGACATATCATGAGTAATGATGATGGTAGTCTTTCCTTTGCGCCATTTCCTGATTGACTCCATGACTTCAATTCGACTTATATAGTCCAGTGCACTGGTAGATTCGTCAAGGATGAGTATCGGCGCATCTCGAAGTTTGGCCCTTGCGATGGCAACTCTCTGCTTCTGCCCCCCGCTTAATGATCTGCCGCCCAAACCAATCAGTGTGTCCAGCCCATTTGGCATGTTCCGTATTGTCTCTTCCAGATAAGCAGTCTTGCATGCCTCCCTGACATCTTCCCGTGTGGCATTATCTCGGTTGCCAAACGCTATATTCTGGAATATTGTTTCGTTGAAGAGCACGCTCTCTTGTTGAACTAAAGTGATATTTTGTCGTAACCAATCGTTATCAAGATTTTGTATTGAGTGGCCATCGACCAGGATCTCCCCAGAGAGAGGTTCATAATACTTCATGAGGAGGTTTCCAACTGTACTCTTGCCAGACCCACTGGTTCCAACTACAAATGTTGTTTCACCAGTGGGGAAGAAGAATGTGACGTTATCTAGTACAAGCTGATGCGTATTCGATGGATATGCGAAGGAAACCTATATATAAGGTTAGTAGGTTCTCTGAGAATGTGACATCGCCCTTACATTGTTGATCTCGACGTCTCCAGGACAGGACTTCGGCGTTGTCGCATCTCTCACTTTTGTTACTCTCCTGTCATGCTGCATCTGAATCATGATAGACTTCAACGTCTCCCCGGCTGACATGCCTTTTGCTAGAACTAACCACTGAGGAAGAATGACTTCAATTGCTTGCATAGCGCTTAAGCATGCATAGAAAGTCGTGAGAACATCGCCAGGATCGAGGCCATTGTTTACTAAATAGATGCCAAACCAGAAACCTTGGACGAAAAGACCAGTGGTCAAAAACTTTATGATTCCGAATTGGAGGGCATTAGCTCTTGCTTGTAACAGATAGTAGATGGTGACCTCCTTGATCGTGGAGAAGTACTGCCAAATCTCTTGATCCTGTCCATTAAAAGCCTTGACGGTATCGATAGCTGTAACCGCGGTGTTGGCATACTTTGATGCCTTGCTAAGCTCTCGTTTCTGTGATTCGATGGCTGGGGCAAGCCCTTTAGAGACGATGAACAAAATGAGGCCGATGAAGGGAAAAGTTGCGAGGATGACAAGCGTCAACTTCCAGGAGTAGTATAATGCAATCCCAAGAGATGCTAGCGATGCCACAGCTTCGAACAGGAGTAACCCAAGAGGCTGAGAGACTGCCAGTTGAAGTTCTCGGATTTGCCTATGAAGAATTCAGTATGATTTTTGTCAGTTCTCATAGAGCCGACCTACGTTTGTATTCGAATCAGCAATGATCCAACTCCATCCTCCCGCAGATCATACCACTCAAGCTCTTTGTCGAGCATCCCCGCGAACATCTTCAGTCGCACGATTTGCGCTTGAAGCTCTCCGAATATGACCCAAGCCGAAAAAAAGATGCCTTCGAGAAGCCACGCTGAAAGACCCAACCCAGTCAATGCTATGCACCATATCGAAATTCCGTGCAGCGTGGCCTTGGTATCCAAGGTTCCGTCGCCAAACTTTGTTAAGATGGAGAAGATCTTCCCCAAGAAGATGGACGCACAAGGCTTCAGTATTCCAGCTAAAATCGATGCAGCAGCAGAGCAGGAAATTGGAGCACTATGCGCTCGAGTTGTGAATGAAAACAGTGAACGCCATGACGGGGTGACTTGAGTTGCATTGTCGATTCTTTCGATCGGCTCCAATTGGTAACGAGGCTGCTGGGACTCCACCACAGGCATTGGCACCACCCAGTCCCGGGTACTTTCAAAGCCCCTAGGGCTCTTATCTCGGCTTGACTGCGTTGCCATTTTTAGGGAGGCGGGGTATTCAGATGTGCGATGGCGGTCAAAGATCAACGAGTAAAGTGGTGCAATGGGAAGATAGCATAAGGAAAGTTTACAAAAGATGTGATGAGATTTGAACTGGAAACTAATACGAATGAAAGGATTCATAGGCATATATGTCTACGATTGATTGTAGTTCATGTTCTTAGAACCTACCTAGGTAAGTATTGTTGTGGCGCTTGCCCCTTACGATTGTTCTCTTAGCGAAGGAGGGGAACAATGAATCTCGGACGCGCCATGCACGTGAGCCTTAGAAATCAAAGAGCAAGGAATGAAACATGACCTTTATCATCGGACTCCGGCTATATCGTAATCACTCAAGCCTTTCTTCTTGTGCTTTCCCTCTTGACGAGATGGCAAGGGGTAATGACTCGGCCCAATATGCCCGTGGGCCGTGATGGCCCGCTAACTAATAAATTGGCTATGAGCAGATACTTAACATTGAATGTCCATCTGAGTATATCGATAAGTAGGGAGTATATCGTGCTTTCAGACACCTGAAGCAAGGAAGAGGGACTTTCGCCCTCGATGACGTTTGGTCATAGCCAAGCTCCGCGGACACACTTAGGCTTGAGAATGCGGGCTCTATATTCGCAGAAGATGTCGAGGCTTTGCTTCAAATTCACCACAAGATGGTTATTGGCGCTTCTCGACATCTTTTTCAATATGATACAAGAAGGGTATTGTTTGTCCAGATATAGGGGAGTTACGACTTCGCTTCCCCAGCCTTCGCCTTTGCTTCTGCTTGCTCCTGCTGGTTCTTCTCGTATATCCAATCGTTCAGTCCCTGCCGGTTTCTCGCAATCTCGACGGCATAGAATTGCATTCGAGGTACTGCACCAAGTCAGTCTTGTCACATTATCGGGCCATATAGGAGCACCTACCAAAAATCGTTTCGTCCTTTCCATACTCCCATTTCGGGTTTGATCTCAGCATTGTACCAAAGTTATAATCATCGACTTTCTTCTCGTAGGCCATCATGAACTTCCGCCACCGTTCCTTGCCTGTCTTGCTCTTCATCTCGTCCTCATCAATCGTCTGTGCGGGATCAAACTCGGGGAAATCGGCCTTTAGGTGCTCGTATATTTCATCATCGATCTTCGTCAGTCGTAGCGTAGAGCCGCGGACCTTCTCGAGGATGGCCCAGTATGTGGACATGTGCTGGACAACTGATGGTGGGGTCAGAGGCGGGGTAATTAACCAGCTTGGTTGGAATGGGATCATGCGAACCTTTAACAGCAAACTGCTTCTCAATCTACAAAGTTGTTAGTAATGCGCAGGATGGAATAGTATTTGCCACTCAGGAGAGTCCTTACATCTTCGAGGTTGTCCGCCTCCTCTGGATTGAAGTCGGCTGGGGCTGCCACAGACATGATGGAGGATGGCGTGGCTTGCTTGAAATAGGGAGTTCAGTCGTTGGCAGGCGCAAAATGCACAGTCCTACAACTGAGGAAAAGTTATAGTTATGTATAGGGGTATCGTGAGACAGTGCGCAAGATGTTAATGAGGAGAGGAGAGGATTTATCAAATAATCATCAATTGTGAACTTGAACTGCCCTATTCTGAGCTGCGGACTTTAGTTTTCCCGAGAAGCGATCCACTAAAGTAAGATCGCAAACGAGGAGACGAGCCTTGAGCAAGAGATCTAGCTACTCCCTTATGGAGTTGAGAGTCTAGCTATCTTCTTACGAATAGAATATGACATGTGAGAGGCAGAATCTGGGTTGTGCTAGCTTTTGTGGTCGATGATCGTGTTGTCTCGGCGAAATGGTCCGCCGGCACATGCCAGGACATCACTTACGGGAAAATGGGATTGCTGGAGTTTTCGTCGGCGAAGTCTCGTCAAGCTTTTGAGATAAATGTCAGATTCTGTTGTCAAATTTCTTTTCATCGTCTATATTTCTATTCCGAGGATATGATGATTCCCACCTGATAATCGTTAGGATCTAAACATCAAGTCCTTTCGTTGCCATTCAACAAGCTTGTCACTTGCAATATGTGGACTCGGAAGAGGAAAACAAGGATTTTCATCCACTCTATAATGGACTGCTGTAGTCAGCTTCAGAATAATCACGCCAAAGCTCTGCGATCTAAGGATGTGCTATGGCTTTCATAATGTAAATGGCCAGGGAGATAACTACGGAATCTGCTTTAGTAAGGCGTGCACTCATGTAGTTAAGTATGGGAGTCTGATTTGGGTGTTATATTCTGACGTAAACCACTTGTCTGTACCACATATAGTTCCCGGCCGTACTCATTGGGTTAGAAGTTATATATTGTGTTTTGTAGTCTACCCCTCCTTTCCCTCCTTTCCCCCCTTTTCCTGTGATGAAGCCTGCAGCCAGGTTGCCTTTTAGGAGTTTACCTTAGATAGACTCTGAGTTGCTCCTTTGGTTCTGCTGTAGACCTTTGGTTATTTCTCGCTGAGTCTCTGTTGATACAAGGTTTGTTCTGCTATCGACACGTGGGTATCTGTCTCTTCCACTTTCAGTATGTTGTCAACCCTGATCAATATTCTTGTGTCTTCGAATCATTTACTTTATACCGCGTGACAAGTTTCTCCTAGTTCGCTTCCCAGGCCTAGTTGAGCTATTGTTGTCTAGCAGATGGGACAGAGCAATATATTCACCTGCTTGTTGATCTAGAAATTTGGGGCGCGAGAATTTTCTGAGCGACGCGAACCTAACTATTCACTGCTTCCTCAGAATGTTGAGGTCCATCTGAGATGAATGATCTTCACAAAGCACGACAATACCAAACGCTCTTTCACAGCCAATGCCAACAAACGAACGAAACGATGACAGCTACAACATCATAGTCCCATATTCCAGATCCAGAGCATCTTCGATTGTGGCTTTTGGCCAAACTATCTGCCCAAAAGTTATATAATCTCCCAATTGCATACTTACCAGTACTGACAAGTCTATAGTGGCTTTAGGCAAATCGCTCATCGAATCCTTAAGATCAGGCTCTCCGTTCATATCTCCAAGAACCCCATCAGAGTCTAGCTTTCGTTCTGAAACGCGTCAAACAGGTAGAAGCAGCAGAAGTAGCAGAAGCACAATAGATACACTGAACCTGGTCCCGCATGTTGTGGAGGAGGTGCGACCACCGCCACCAGAGCTCGATCAAACGGTCGATCTTCTTGTTGACACGAACGTTTCAATTGATCCCGCACTTTTATTTGAACAGCTCTTATCTGATAAAGATAAGACAACTCCAGACCATTATCTGTTTACGCTCCTCCCTCCCAAAGTTCGAAGGAAGATATACGGCTATTGTTTCCCTAAAGAGGACCGCAAGATAGATTTATCACCTTACTTTGTCACAAAAGCTGTCTGGCCCAAGAACCACTTCGCTTCACCGTGGAAAATTCTGGAGCAAGTTATGGGCGGTCTTGGCGCTTTCCGAACCCTGCGCTATGAACTGATGACATACTTTTGGACTGAATACCATTTTCACGTCACCCTGTCACCCTTCAGCAGTCCAAAGCTGTCACCTTTATCATATATCTGGCTGACACCTTATCTCGGTACAATACAAAGGCTCACTGTCGAGGCTGATCTTACAAGATTCGGCTGCAGTCAATTAAAGAGTGCACCACAATTTGGTTATGATCTAAACAGGATTGAGTCAAAGCTTGTAGCTATAGTAAAAGGGGTTTTGAAACGCCAGGGAATGACTACCATGGCTGAATTCAACATCATGTGCAGACGTTACGCCGGTCTTCGACCCCGTAATGACTCTGACAGTCCGAATCCTGACTTTTGTTTCCCAGAAGGTATGTGATTCATTTGAGCAATCTCATCGACACCTTGATCCTTTGACTGATAATATCGGTAATTCCAGTCCAATACTGTCCTAATGAATGCATGGACCTCTACAATACTCTTTCCAGCCTTCGTGGAATTGTTCAGTGCTCCCGAGTATCCGGTTTTACACTCCAATACTCGGAGATGTTGCTCTGTGCTATGTTCGCAGATGGTAACAATAAACCAAACTATATAGTCCCAGAAAGGCGTCCCTGGCCTGTTTTTCGCACACCAAAGGTTCCGTCTTCTCCTGGAGGATATCCATGGACACCACTACCGGAAGGACCATCCGTCTTCAGCACACCAAGAACTTCGTATTCTCCTGGGGAATACCCCTGGGCGTCACTACCAGATCAATCACCTACCTCACGCTTCTCAGAACTTCCGTACCCATCTCAATTTGATCTTAAGCTCAACAAGAGCCCAAGCTTTGCCCAAGAGCTTACGCAAGACACACTTAAACACGAGGCTTCGGTCTCTCCTGCCTGCACTACTGCGCCTGGGAAAGAGACTTTGGTCAACTATAATCGGTCCCGTACCCCTAGGAATCGGGCTCCAACAGCAAGTCATGTGTCAAGATTCCAAAATCGCATGCCCTCAATCTCTGAAACTGGTCCATCACTCGATGAAGAATCAGTGTTTCAGAAGTCAGTTAAGGGAAACCCAATGCCCCGAACACGTTTTGGAGATTCTGGTTTGTCTCGGACGGTAACCCACGAGCGAAACATAACCCCGCCTCCGAGGAAGGATTCTAGATGCTCCACACCACCAAAGTCCCCAAACACAATGAATAGGTTGAACGAGCAGGATCCGGCATTTCGTCGAACCTTGGATGCTTTACACTCGGTCGACAAGCAATCCAGAGATCCATCCAAAATCGCTGGGCCCGACTCTGTGAACAGTTCTCATAAGCTGAGCAAGGAGGCCAAGGCTGGTGATCATTGTCAGACAAGTTCTGAAGAGCGCTCAAAGTTCGATACCCCAAGTAGGAAGTATTTATCGTTCCTCAGCAGACTCAAAGGAGGTGGAGCTTTAAATTGAAGCTGTTTCACGTGGTGTGGTTAGGCCATTAGAGAACACCTAGTTGAAATGCCCACAGACGGGATGCAAAATAATTGTCCTACAATCTCGATACCCAAATTGATTCTGATACCGTGTGAATACTCAACAAGCAATTCTGTGTAGTTGAGTAATTGAGTTCTTAAAGTCTTTTGGCGCATCACCGTCTGCTGCCTTCAACGGGAATAGCATACAGATGAAACGAGCGGCTGGATGGCAATGCGAGCGCGCTGTGAATGAATACCTATGTCTTTAAAATCAGACAGTCTTCGCTCGTGATGGATTAAAGCAGAACGAGCTGCTCGACGAAGTTGAGAGTAATATGATCGACGAAGGCAACTACTTGGGACTTGGTAGGCGAACAGAACTTGATCGCGGTGGACGAAGGTCCATTCTCTCAGTCGCGCTTGACTGCCAAACCTGAGCACAGCTTTGCAAAGGCGGCATGAACACGTCCATTGTGGTGGAACTGGCGCAACTCAACGAGTTGATCATCACGTGATACGAGAGCCCCCTTTTCATTACTTCCCTTTTGGGAAACCAGGCCATATCTCCGCAAAGAGATTAGGATAAGAAATAATTGAGACCCACGATGCGATAAGAATAAAAACACTTGCAATACGGTGCCGCTGATAAGTGCCCTCTCTAAGGCCTGACTAATCATGGACCTTCACCGCCTGAGATAAACCCCGCCTACAACCGCATCTATTTCCTTTCAGACTGGACTGTCAGTAAAGAGTACAAAGGGCTTTGCAGGAGACCATAACATTTGTCGCAAATATCCTACGATAGAGCCAACTGCCTCAATTTTGATTGTAGGTGCTAATCCAGGCAGCCCCAATCGAATCCTTAATTAGCTTCTGACTGTTAGTCTGTAGGTGTGCGCTCTTATATTCCCCTCCGCTACTTCAATCAACCGCTTCAGTACTAATAGCCCTTCTCGCAGGCTTCTCTCCTTCTCATTGTTGCTACATCTGCAAGCCTGCCCTCTCAACTGAGTGCTACTTGTGTTTCGTTCCTGTGATAGCTGCCCTGACGAATCCATAATAGATCGTTCAGCAATGAAGGATCCCTCCGAGCGCACTCCCCAAGGACATATAAAACAGCTCGTCGCTCAATTCCGACCTGCTGCTGGTCCGTACGAGGACTTGTACCGCCAGCTCCATGCAGAACCGGAGCTTTCTCTGCAGGAAGGAGCAACCGCTGCGGTAATAGCGAGCTACCTGAGACAACTAGAGGGCGTCGAGGTTCGGACCAACATTGGTGGGCATGGCGTGGTTGGCATTCTTAGAAATGGTGTAGGAAAGACGGTGATGTTGCGGGCAGACATTGACGCTCTGCCTATGGAGGAGAAGACTGGGTTGCCGTACGCCAGTAAGAAGAGGATGGTTGACGTTGCAGATAATGTTGAAAAGCCAGTTATGCACGCATGCGGCCATGACATGCACATCTCATCTCAACTTGCAGCTGCGGAGCTACTGCACAAGTGTCGGGACATATGGAGCGGAACTGTCTTATTCCTGTTTCAACCAAATGAAGAACGGGGTGCTGGCGCACAAGCCATGGTTGACGATGGGATTTATGACCCGGCGAAGCATGCTATCCCGAAGCCCGATGTTATTCTTGGCGCACATGTCATGCCGCTAAGAGCTGGAAAGCTCTACAGTCGGAAGGGGGTCTTTGGCAGCGCGGCCGACAGTTATAAGGTAACCGTCTATGGCCGTGGTGGGCATGGAAGCCGGCCACATACCACAATCGATCCAGTGGTATTGGGTTCTAGTATAGTCATGAAGCTACAGACCATCGTGAGCCGAGAATCGAACCCACAAGAAGCAGTCGTAGTCACTGTGGGTGCTTTCCATGCCGGTTCAGCAGAAAACGTCATCAGTGCAGAGGCAACCCTTTTGATCAATACAAGAACCTTTAGTCCTGAATCGCGCACGCGCGTGAGAGAAGCCATCGAGCGTATCATCAACGCCGAATGTCAAGCTGCAGGCTGTCCGAAGCCGCCACAGATCCGGGAGACAAGTTCATTCCCATTGCTGTATAACGAGGAATCGGTTACGGAGCGCGTCTCCGAGGCGCTGAAGGAGTATTTCGGGGATTCATTCAATCCAGATGGACCGGTTTCAATGGGCAGCGAGGACTTCAACAATCTAGCCATATCATCTATCCCCTGCTGCTTTTGGAACTACGGCGGCATCGACCCGGAGCTTTGGGATGACGCGGAGAAGAGGGGCCGAACAGCTGAGGAGATTCCAGGTTCGGTCACCATTTTGGAAGACCCAGGTATCCAGAGTCCAGACTGATGTTTTATATAGGCAATCATAATCCTTCCTTCGCGCCAGTAATTCAACCTACTCTTACAGTCGCCATCGATGCATATGCTACCGCCACCCTATCACTCTTACTATGAAACATTAGGCTCAGCACGCCTGTTGGACATTAGACATGGAGCCGACTTTCACGAGCGCGTATCTAGGCCTACCCGCTAGGTCAGGTTTTGGTTCTAGAAATCTATGTTGGTTTGAACTATGATCTGCGGATAGAATCAAAGAAGTCATTGGATGACGATACAGACTTCAGAAATGCCGTCTGCATAAGAATTCCTCCCTTCTAGTGTTTACACCACAACCAACACCTTGTTTGGGGGTTGTTCCAGGACCTTGTTAATAGCTCAGGTAACCTTGTTGGGGTTAGTTATATAATATAACCTGATTCAAGTCTCAATTACCTCCAATTAGTTAACATGGTCAGCCTCTTCGTCTGTTCTTTGTTCAGGATACCGAGATGTACCACATGTTGTAGATAGGTAGGCCTTCGCTCAAAGAGGGCCAGCCTACTTACTTCAAAGCTAGACCAGAAGCATAGACATTCCATATAACTTGAAAAGCATATAATTGTAGCTGAATGAATTTGGTTTCCAAATTCTCGTATCACTCGTATCAAAAGCATAGCTCGCAAAGAGGTTGTTCAAGATGTAAGCTTCATTATGCTATTTAAACTTTCCGCCTTTTCTTCTTCGGCGGCAGTTTATGTGATTCTCCAGACACCTCCACATTCCCATTCAACTCCTTTTGCAGTTGCCGGCCAGCAGCATCATCTGCCTCGACGTCTTCCTCGGCGTCATCTTCCTCATCCACCTCGTCAGCATCATCTGACCCATCCTCACTGTCGTCATCTTCTGACTCGAGCCCAAAAGCAGCATCCACATCGCCGGCAACATTATTAAGTTCAACACCACCATCACTGTCAAAGCCTTCAAACTCTTCCTGCTCGTCATTTCCTTCAGAAGCATCCGACGCGTTTTCTGCAACGGATGTATCGGCGACTGACTCATCTTCCAGTTTTCTCTTTCTCATTTCACCCAGTCGACCTTCACGGCCCTCAATACCCTTCACTTCAGCACCTTCAACAACTGGTGGTGGGGTGAACCATGGGATCTTGCCCCTCATAAAGTCATTTAAGACCATCTTTGCAACACCATCAACATCTGGTTCGCCACCATGTAATAATCTCCCACCCTTTCTCGCTAGCAGCTCCAAAAATTCGATATGGTTTTTCCAGCCCTTGATTTGGTATGTTCTCTCAATATGTTGAGGTTTTGTCTTAGTAAGCACGGCCGGAATGTACTGTTCAGGGTTCTCAACGTTTTCCACTCTCACAACGCCTCGCAACAGGATATCTTGTGGTGTATCCGTAGTACTAGGAGGAACCACTCCCGGGCAGTCAATGAGGTAGATTCGCTTCATGAGTGTGATATATTGCCAGACCTTTGTTTCACCAGGGATCGGTGCAACAGTACAAACCTTCTTCTTTCGAAGTGTGTTGATAATTGAAGATTTTCCTGTGTTTGGGTATCCAATAAAGCCAACAGATATTTGCTTGCGGTCTGAGTGAAGGGAAGAAAATTGACGGAGAAGCTGGATCAGAGACCCTTTGCCAAATGAATTCGTTATGGATGCATGGAATGCGAGAGTCGGATAATCTTTTGAAAGAGCTCGTACCCAGGAAGCCTGCAACTAATTAGTAATTGCAAACACAAACTGTTATATTTGGTATTTGGTATGTATGAATCATAACTAAGAAGACCACCACAAGCCACCAACATAAGGGAGGAAGTGGTCTTCAACTCAAACGAAACATACCCAAACTCTTTACGACAGACTCTCCAAGACGGTGAGCTGTCTACTCAAGTTCCGAAGACCAGGAGCGGCGAGTAAGGGTTCATTCTACCAAAGTTGTAACAGACGGCCTTCCATTGCAAAGAGCACTCGAAATGCAGAAGGAGCCTTGACTTAACGATGGAACTTGAAATTGGATAGGAGATAATATGAAAGGTATCCAACTTACAGCAACTCCAGTAGGCACCAGATCGCACTTATTCAGTACGAAAATCAGGTGCTTATGTGGTGCCTCTTCCTTGATATATTTTTCCACACTTCGACATCGAGTACCCAAAGGATCTCGTGCGTCAAGGACGTGAATGATAACGTCTGAGGAATCGATGACTTTGTACAGTTCGTTCCAGATTCGTTTGCTTTGACCCTTACTGAAGATAGCTTCTCGGGCACTCGTAATATACCCGTCATCTGTCGCAGCGGCTTCACCAACTGCTTCAGCCCCAGAATTTCCACTCAGTAACTTTTGTTCCTCAAGGCGGTCTAGGTATGTGTCGTGGCTCTTCACAGAGTCCTCTGCAAGGTCTTCAAGTGAGCTGACACCTAATTTTACCCTCTTCCGCTGTGCTTTGGGTCCAAAGACTTCTCCAAAAGGCGATGCCTCCACAGTCATTTTTGCTTGGTGTTGTTTGATTCCATTCTTTCCTTGGCCATCTCTGATCAAGGTCATTGGAAGTTTGTTGGATTTCAACAGGACGCTATATGGGTCCGAAGCCCGTTCGGCCATCGCCTCTCTGAAGGAATTCAGAGCATCCTGACTGATGACTCTGGAGTTGGTAAACCATTTTCTATTAGGCTAAATATTGAGTCAGCGTGAGGTTCATCAATCGAACAAGAGGTGGGCTTACTTCTATTCGTGCGTTAGGAGTCTCCCGCGACTGGTATGCTGCAGCCTTTGTGACCTTTCCAGCAGCATTATGCTGCGCAGTACCTCCAGTCTGGATTTTGAGTTGCTTTGCTTTCTTGGCAGACCTGAAGTGACAATGTTAGCAATCTTCCTGAGTTGGTATCAGGGTTGTCGCAGCACCCTCTTACCGATAGAAATTTTCGCCTTTCACTTTGACATTTGCCATGCCATCTCCGACCTTGCCCTGGCGGATCTTCCGCTGGGCTTCCTTCTTACCGGTTCCCATGGCTGATGGTTGTTGGGTATTAAAAGTCAGGAAGAGGTTTGAAGGGGCGGGGAGGTGAAAAAAAATTGTGGCCGAGAAAATATATGTAGCTGTGGCTGGGTTGGGGTGTGGCTTGCCGCACTAAGCGGGTACCTCCGTGCTCGCAAGTTCATCCAGAATGCGCTAGCCTTGAACTTTTCAAACATCTGTCGACGACCTGCTTAGAAGCTATCCAGGGGATCGGATCCAGCAATGCCTCCACATTTATCCAGGAGCTCATTGAGCTTTCTGACACGATGCTCAACTACTTCATATGCACGGGCTTTCACTTCATCCTCGCGGCTTTCCGCTATTGGCCCTGAGAGCCCGAAATTTATCGAGATTCCAGTACCACCTCAACGACAGGCAAGAGGCTCAAGAGACATCAAAGGTATTCTGCCACCTCCTCGAGATGTCTTCGACACACGCGGACTCGATAAGACTACCCCCGACTTCTTGGCCGCCACAACTCCCGAGCCAAAGGAGCTTCCAGAGACAGAGGATGACCGTATAATATGGAAACGGCGAATGGCAGCTAAGCGGAGGGCGAATCTACGCGAGGGAATTCTCGAGCTGTACGAGAGAAAGAAGCGTCAGGAAGTTATAGTTGCGAAACGAAGCGCTTGGAAAGTCCGAGACAGAGAAAAGCGACTTAAGGCACCACAACGTGAGGACGAACGGTTGACCAACCCGACTATCACGGCTGCGACGCGAACGCTTCAATCAGGTCCCGTGCCAGACCCAGACCGCGAAGCTCGTCTTGCTGAGAAGGCGGAGCGAGTGAAAGCGAGGGAGGCTTTGAAGGCAGCACAGCGGAAAGATGCCTTGCACACTTTGTACATGAACGCTCGAGGCTTCATTACGACGGAGGAGCAGTTGGATGCCGAGATTGAGAAGATCTTTGTGCCCTACCCATTCGGAGAGAACAACGAGGGCAAGACCAATATTTGGGATGCATACGGGGCTCCACCTACGGTGCAGGATATGTTATCGGCAGTCAACAACACGCAGAAGCTGGCTATAGATTTCCACAGAGGCCCAGGTGCTATTACGGGCAAGAGAATGAAGAGAATCGCGGAGGAGTTGACTGGTGGCAAGATGGATTAGTGGATGGATATCTGGGGAGAAACTTTGTATACTAATGGGTGGGAGAGCAAGATTTGCTTCTCCAATGTATAAGATTCGCGGCTCAGACCCAATGCCCAAGACTTGTAACATTTGATATTGGAGTCTATTTCCTGCTTCTTCCACAAGTGTCGGGCTCACCACGTTTTCAGTATACTGCCCGATTTCTATCTTTCATGAATAGCTGTTGGCCATGTATACTCCTTGAATGTGAGGTTGGTGGCACATAACGAGAGAGAAGTAACAATACCAGGACATGGCAGAATATCTTGACACAACAAAATAACCTCAAATGCAATACACTCTCCAACTATTCATCCCAACCTCTTATAGACCTGGCCCTTAGCCTCAAAAGCAGATACACACATTCGGAGCTCCGCCATTACCTTCAAATAAACAGGTGAACGAAGCACTTCCTGGACATAACTTAAAAGCCCAGAAATTCATACTGGGGAACTATGTCGTCTTCCCCTGAGAAGTGAATGTGATTAGTGTTGGTGAGAAACTCAGCAAATATTTTGTTGCACATCGTTCCCGGGCGCAATATATCGAGTTGTTCGATCACTAAATAAATGCATCTGTCTATTTTCATAGTTGTCAAACCATTTTGATTACTCAAATGCTCCTTGATCATGCAAAAGGACTTGCTGGCTTGAAAGATATCGCGAACTACTATGTACCTATAGCCAGGTAGGTATACGATTCAACTCAAGCCTTCTACTCTAACGACGCCTATCCTCCACAATATGAAACACAGCTACGATCTCTGACGATCAGATGTTGATTAAAGGGGTTGATTCTTTCTTCTGGTATCGGTCATGATACCTAAAGAGTATTATGAGAGGGCTGATTTGGTTGCAAAGTACTTAACGTTGGCTTGGAAGACTTGGTAGACTTGATTGTATTGATTCGTTAATGAGCTAAAATTTAAACACGAGTAAAACTGAAGATAATGCACAAATAGCATGAACAGTCGTCATCGGTAACTGGATAGATATATGAATATGAGGTACTTCTGAAGAATCCAACCTAGAATGACCGATTCAACTGGAGAAGTGAAATCCAAACATCCTCCGACTTGTGCATATCCTTGCCGTGATTATCTACCTATACTACACTTTTGCTAAAAGGACACCCGAAAGTTCAGACCAGAAGCGCCATGCTCAATGCATAATAAGGGTATAAAAGCATGTGCCCCTAAATATCATTATTCATTGAAATCGTCTCGGCCATTCCTCCTTTTAGATCGTCATTCATACCAATATATACACTCTTCTGGAACACTATTCCTCTGGATGATGATCCGAATGTCGACTTGCAGGACTGCCCGGGTCGACCTGGATGGATGGGAGAGACGGCAGGTTAAGGCTTGGCAACTGCGGGGGGTGTTCAATGCCTTCAACTTTGTCTCTTCCATCTTCGGAGGTGTCTTCCACATTTTTAGTGGTCTCTTGCTCGCCTTCAGTGGTGTTTGTCACACCCTCGGTGGTATCTTCCACATTTTTAGGGGTATCCTTCCCGCCTTCAATGGTGTTTGCGACACCTTCGGCGGTATCTTCCACATTTTTAGTGGATTTTTGCTCGCCTTCAGTGGTGTTTGCGACACCTTCGGCGGTATCTTCCACAGTTTTAAAGGTATCCTTCCCGCCTTCAGTGGTGTTTGTCACACCTTCAGCGGTATCCCTTCCACCTCCAGTGGCATCTTCCACAGTTTCAGTGGTGACCTTGCCACCTTCAGTGTTGTCTTTCCCACCTTCGGCGGTACCTTGCTCACCAACAGGTGTACGTGCAGACCTCCTGCTACTAGTGCTTGCATTGCTTAGACTCCTCTCCGAAACCAATTGCCCGACGTGCGTTGCGCTAGTCCTCCTTCCTTCCGAATCAACAGTTACAGCATTGTCTCTTGGTGGAGTTGTAACGGCTGGCGTTGCTGTTTCGACAGTCGATGCGGGCTCTTCCGTCGTCACTATCAAACCCGGGTAGCTAGGTGGTGATTCTCGGTGATATTCCCCAGATGGCGTGTCCAGTGAAATGTGCTCGTATTCCGGTGGACTGTTTGGCGGGATATCTTCGTGGTCTATCATCTCCGGGCTGCTTCCCGCTCTACCTTCGTGACTTGACCTGCCATCTTGTTGGCTATAACTGATAACATTTCGTAGAGGACTCTCGGCAGCTTCCGAACGGGCCGAATTTGCGCGTGAGCGCGTCAATGTTCTCCCAGGTAGGTCGATGTTCATTGTATCGATGCTCAGGATTGAGCTTGAGCTTCGATCTCTTCGATGGAAACTGCTCCCCATACCGGCAGCATCACCAAGAAGTCCATCACGTTCGCTATCATTGCTATTAGCGCGCACCCTTGTCCCGTCGTGCCTTGCAATTCCCAAAGCTGCATATGCGACCGACGAAATAGCCCTTTGACGTTCCCTCTTGATACGTTCGTGTTCAGCCCTAGCCTCCGCTACACTCATTCCCGTGCTTGCGTTTGAATTGCCCCTAGCTCTAGCTTGAAGCTCTCTCAGGGCTACGTGGTCGCCCCTCTCTCTCGCCTCTCTCCTGAGTCGCCTCCGTTCTTCCCGTTCTTCAATCTCTCTTCGTCTTGCAAGTCGGACCTGGTATAAAGCCTCCATTTCAGCTTCGCGGCGTTCCTCTTCCTCATCGGGTCCTTCTGGGAATTCAATCACGACATCAATCCCTCCTCTTTCCCCTTCCCTCCCCAACACTTGCTCGTTCTGTAATGCGTTCGGATGATAAGCCGGCAATGTCATAACAGATCTCACTGAGGTATGTCTATCGACGCCTTCAGTAGTGGTTGTAGCCTGAGCAGCGGCGGCATTGGACGGTTGCGTTGATCCCGCTGTCCTTTGAGGTTCGAGATGATCGCTATCGGCGATTCGATAGCGTGTTTTCCCTGGCTCCCATTTCTCCCATAGCTTTTTCAGGAAAGGAGTCGGTACGTATTTTGGATTCTTGTGTTTACGACGACATCTTCGGAGCAGATAGAAGCCAAGTACTACGCCTAGAAGACATACGACGACTACGACGATTGCCTGGTCGAGCGTTATTAGTCCATACTCGCGAGTTATGCCACTCGGCGGCGACAACAGATATTGAGACGTACGATTATCGTGCCAACACTTACGCCGGACCCTGACTTGTCGGGAGGTGGTGGGGTCTGCCGGCGCCGCAGTTCTTGGTATATATACATCGTGTCCTCAAACCACACAGGTTGGAGGAAGGATGGGCTTCTTCAAACTTGAAAAGGAAAGTATTTGAACGGATGGGCCTGGCATTCCCGGAATTCCAAAGGGTTTCGCACTGTCCTTGGCGGCCTGACGTTTCGCTTCTAGGGGTTGGCAGGTAGATGGCTGATTGGCTTCTAATGTTCCTCGTACTGGTCAGAACTTAGCATGGCCACGGCCGTTGCTATGTGGGCCTATAAAATAGAGAGGGGGGGATGGTGAGGTGAGATAGAGCAGCCGGGGAGTCCCAAGAGCCGTTTTATGAGTTGTTAACCTGTTGGCCTTACGAGAAAGATGCGTAGATGACGAGGGATGCTGGTATAGAGTCAATTAGATTATTTAGATAGAGCACTGCCTTTCCAAAGCCCCATTCTTTCGGGTATGAAGGGGCTCCGAGCCTCCGCGTACGGTTGCCGTGATTGGTGGAGCGGCGGGAGCGGGCCTCAGGCAGGACCAGCCAGTAAACAAAGTTGAATATTTACCTATAATCGACGATTAATTTCCATTTATTTTTAGCATTTTTATTAAGAATTCCCGAGAGTTCCCACAGGCTGACCAAGCTCCTACTGCACCCTACTCAATTCTACCGCTCTACATGTAGCCTTCATCATTATTGCCTTTTAGAACACTTGGCAGTGTTCATCATACTTCGGCTTGATTATCCTTTGAAGCGTCTCCCTTTAGTTCCTGGGGCTCGCCTTTGCGCCGAGGTTTACTTTCCGCTGAGAAGCCCACAAGCTGCGATTCTGTCTGGTTTCCTTGATGATGCTATGCGGATGTTGAGAGACTGTCGGATATGCTATGAGAATGATCAATACAGAAGACAAAAGGAGAGCACCAAGTGGTGATTCTGCAATGAGCACGTTTCCCGGATCTTTACGTCAGATCAAAGCCGCATCACACATTTTTCATGTATGTCAGCCTGTCGAGATGAGACTGAAGGCCCCTTGAGTATTTGTATACTGCATCTCCAATTATCAACTACATATTTCCTTGACTGGACGTGTACCTGTACCTTTCCAACGGCCTGGAGCCAAAGAATCCCGCTCTGCCTATAGGGATCTCAATGGTAGAGGTCACCGGCCTCAATTTTGCAGCATGTCCTTTCCTTCAGCTCCTTTGAACCCTCCTATAGTTGGTCTATCCACCTCCTTTGAAGTCACGGCGATAGCATCATACAAGTATCTTCTTTTCTCTGCGCCTAATGATAACTTGAGTCAAGGCCATCAAGTCGAAGGCCGGCTTGTTTTCGTCGCCCCACTTCTCAGATACCACCTGAGGCACCTCCCAGTGATCGCCCACAAGCTCAACATACATAATCTGTCTTTCAATCCATGCTTTGAAGCCTGTCACGAGCAACTTGCTTATAATGAGGAGGGAGTAATCGGTAGGCCTCAGATGAACGTCAGATCCCGATACTGGAATAATTACATACTTACCAAAAATAAGGCCGTTCTGAAACTGTCGATTATAGAAGGTTTCAAATATGGATATTTCAGTATCACAGGCGCTTTGTTAGATGCTTGGTATGCCGTTTGTATTCGATATCCGTAGATTGCGGATTCATGTTAAAGTCAGGCGACAATTAGGTATCTACCGAGAATCTCTCGAGAGCGGTACTGGGTGATGGATCGAGTTGAATCAAACAGCGAAATTAGGGTGGATGAGAGGTTGAGAAGCTGATTCTATACTGTATCTACCTGCCTACTTGCTTCATCAACAGTTACACGAATGATGGGAGGTCACGTGCTTCGTGCATTGCAGCCACCTTCCACCTTCCAGGTTGTAGCACTCTTACCCCTCATCAACGTCAAGCAACCCCACAACAGCCTGCAAAGCAGTGAATACTTGAGCCTTGGCTGTGAAGTACTCACCGCGCCACAATCGCTGATTAGGTATTGTTGAGGTACCTATTATATTTGTACGTTTTTTGCACTTATGAGAAGCCTTACATCAGTCTCTACGCTGGACATTACAACTTCAATCCGCAAGGGCATTACTTCAACCATGGAAGACCTTGTCAAAGCCATCCAAACAACTCCAATCATTGACAATCATGCCCACCCACTCTTGATTCCCTCTGCGCAGGCTAAATACCCACTGTTATCGATCACTACCGAAGCCCATGGAGATGCTATGAAAGCTACCCCGTCATCCTTGTCACATATCCGAGCCGTCAATCAACTATCTAGGGTTCTAAATTGCCCTCCGACATGGCACGACGTTGTCCAGACCATCGAAGTTGAAAAAGCGAAACCCAACGATGCTTGGTCAAGGCGGTGTTTCGAAGGCATCGAGACACTTCTAATAGATGACGGATTAGACGGCAAGGATGAGGCTTTCGATTATGCGTGGCATGATCGGTTGACAAGGGCGAAGTGCAAGAGGATAGTGAGAATCGAGAAAGTTGCCGAGGAGATCATCAATGAGTGTCTCAAACAACCTGGTGCCTCGTCGGAGGACATGTTCTTGACTTTCCTCTCCGACTTTGACAATGCAATCAAAGATGCCGTCCTTGACTCAGAAGTTGTGGCCTTCAAGTCCGTCATTTGTTATCGTACTGGCCTGAACGTTCCATCGCAGCCACCTTTACCGTCTGAAGTTAAGCAATCCTTTCTGCAGATCCTCTCTAATCACAGGGCTGAAGGAGGTTCGCATTTCAAACGACTAGATGGCACGCTTCTGAATGCTTTTCTTGTCCACGCCACCGCTTTGATCATCCGGAGCTCGAAAACTCCACACAAGAAAGCGCTTCAATTTCACACTGGACTGGGGGATAACGATATTACTCTAACTCGATCTTCGCCTTCCCATTTGCAAGAGTTTATTCGACGTTATCCTGAGGTGCCAATCGTTCTCCTCCACGCAAGCTATCCCTGGACTAAAGAAGCAGGATACCTAGCTAGTGTATATGAAAATGTTTACGCGGATATCGGAGAAGTCTTTCCGTTTGTTAGTCGACAGGGGCAAGAGGCTGTGGTTCGTGAAATTCTGGAGCTCTGTCCCAGCGAAAAGATTCTCTGGAGCACAGACGGGCACTGGTTTCCAGAGACGTATCTACTTGCCGTTATTCAGGTTAGGGAAGCTTTGGAAGCAGTAAGACACCAGCGCGATAATATTTGCGGTAACTAACATTTAGTATAGGTGCTTTCGGAGTATATACGGAAAAAGGACCTGACTGTCCCTCAAGCCGTGAAAATTGTACAGGATATCCTCTTCAACACGTCAAACAACTTATACGATCTCAAGCTTCCCCTGAAACCGTTTGCTATTGCTTCAGCTCTCGATCTTTCGTCCCCACAACACTCTGATTTGAATCTCCTAAGGTCGTTTTTAGATGAGCATCCATCGACTAAGTTCCTCCGCCTTCAGTTCCTGGATTATACGGCAACACCGCGAATGAGAGTAATTCCTATCAGGCATGCTTTGAGTCTACTTCAGACACAAAGTAGTCTCACAACAGGAATTTTAACCGCTAGCCTTGGGCTTCTCCAAAACGATACCATTATACCCGAGGTTAATGGTACGGACGAGTATAGACTGCAAGCAATCTTCTCATCAATAAGACGCGGCCCTGCCAAAAACTATGCTTCTGTTCAAGGCGAATTCCGTGGACAAGATAATTCCGAAGTAACGCTCTGTCCCCGTTCTATCCTTCGCCGCACAGTCCAGAACTCAAAAGCTCAGGGTCTAGAATTCCTCCTAGGTTTTGAGATAGAAGTCGTTTTCATGTCTCCCGTATCGGATTTCAAGCCTGGGTATACTGCCAATTCGTCCTCAAAGGGCCATGCCTGGAATTCGGCTCGATCTCTGCAAGAAAAGGCTCTGCTGCCCATGCTCGAGGAGATATACGACAGCCTGTCTAGTTCGGGAATTTATCTTGAGGCATGGCATCCAGAGAGTTGCGCCGGCCAATATGAGTTCGTGCTCCCTGCTCTCCCTCCTCTTGAAGCGGTGGATACATTACTTCACGCCCGTGATATCATTGCAACAGTTGCAGCAGGTCATTCGCTGCGAGCAACGCTATTTCCCAAACCTTTCCCAGAAGAAGCCGGAACGGCCTCTCACGCTCATATCTCAATCTCGTCTCCAAATGGCGAGGAGAAAGAGGTATACGAATCTTTCTATGCTGGAATACTGGACCACCTTCGCGCTATCATAGCATTCACGTACAGTAATCCGGAGAGCTATGCTCGTATGCTTGACAGCCATTGGGCAGGAGGTCGATGGGTGACGTGGGGTAGCCAGAACCGGGAAACGGCGCTGAGGAAGATTGCGGGGTCTCATTGGGAAATCAAAGTTTTGGATGGTCTTGCGAATATGTATCTGGCGATGGCTTCTATTATTGGAGCTGGGACGCATGGCATTTTGGCCCACCAAAAGTTGAAATGGGGCGATTGCATGGAAGACCCCGCGAAATTGTCCTGGGAGGAGAGGCATAGGCTGGGGATTAGAGAGGGTTTGCCCAAAGATCTTGGGGAGGCTTTGACGGCCCTGGCCGAAGATGAGATACTGTGTGGCATCCTTGGAACGGAGGTCGTTGAGAGATACATTTCTGTTAAAAGGGGGGAGGAAGAGCTACTGACAAGCATGAGCGAAGATGTCAGAAGGAACTGGATCATCGAGAGATACTAGTCGTACGATCAGGTCCGTCACGATTGCTGGCTGACTCTTTTGACGACCCTCCGGTCATTTCTTGCGCTAAACGCGTTCATTTTCGATATTTACAGCGGCTGTTCCCCAAAACATCGTGTTCCTTTTGTGGACACAATCCGTTCTCACCTGTATGTGATGTCCCGCGCCAATTCGAATCAGCAAGGGTGTGCTTCTCCAAACAGGTACCCAATCGTAAATTTCAACGCGGTTCCGGATGTTTCAGGTCATACCCCATAGGCTTGAAATATCATCAGCCGTGTCAAATGTCAAGTTTCATTGGCGCTTTGCTCTACCGCCTCGTCGGCGTGCATCCTTCTACGCAATCTGGACCGGAGGATTGGGACGCGCGGGGCGCTGAAAATACTGCTGGAGGAACTGGCGGCCCAAAAATCAATCCCAGCTGCGCGTCCATCCACTACACTACTGCAAGAATGCAAGGCATGTAGGGATGGTCAAGGGCCGATGCACCCTATGTCTGATCTCTCCGTCCAGCTGGGTCGACAGGCCGCGGACGGTGCCCGTGCGACTGCAGAATGGCACCCCTGCAACTGAAGACCACCGCAGCGGTTCCTCCACCGCCTGGGCGTTCGAGTACTGTGGAGTTGTAACTTGTGACGATACTTCCAGAAGTACCAGCCAGCCAGCAACCTCTCTTTTGCACATCGGCAGGGTTCTCCCACCCGTCCCGCTACCCGCTCGCCGATCTACAGACCCTGGTAGAATTGTCGACTGTGTGAGAGAGGGCGATATTTCAAGCGAGGAGATAATGCCCACCATGGTTTAAAGCTGCTGAATGGATCACTGACGCATGATTTGTTCAAGGTTACAAGTTACAAGTTCATGTTGCGAGTGCGAGTGCAAGTGCAAGTGCAAGTGTATGTTGCGAGTTGCAAGTATAGGTTGCGAGTTGCCAGTGTATGTTGCGAGTGTACCATAAGGTGGGTTCAAGTGGCCATGCAGCCATGCGGCGAATGCAAGCATGCAAGCAGAAGTCAAGGACTCGCCCGCAATGTACCTTTACTACTACACCACACACTGTGGTGTCACATGTCGCTTCCAAATGAAGAGCATGGGATCAAGGGCCACGAACTATATCAGCGGGTTTGGTGCAAGCCACTCGTGATAAGTTACTACTCCGTAGAGTAGTGAGGTATGTACTTGTCGGTCGCTGCAACCACGCATGGTGTGCTGGTTGCCGATCCACCCCGCTGGTGTGTGTTCAATAAAATCAGCGTGTTATGTCCTTGCATGCAAGCCTGTGTACACAGTAGAAAGATCCAGAGCCTGCTTCCAAGTCATTAGCGGCGACATCCTACTACCAATGTCATGCAGCCATGTTCTGAAGCGATACTCGGGAGTCTGGAATGTCGGGAGGCAAGCGCCGATCACTACCAAGTCTCGTCCGATGGCCTCCAAGGCTGGGGTCTAAGAAGTACATCCGCATACTCTTCTTCTATTATTGAGGTGTGAACCAACCATACACCATCATTTGTCTGTCACTGGACGATATAGGCAGAGATCGTCAGAACCACATCTCACGCAGAACAGAACTGGCCATTGTTACACATACATCAGGGATAAAACCTATCTAAGCCGAGAAAGATCATCATATCGAACATACATCTGAAAGATGTACACAGTACAACTCCTCCCGAAGTACAATACCCAAATGCAAGAGAGGTTGTTCTTCGGTCACAGAGCAGGGTAGTAGCCACAACGTGCTAAGGTCCCTGGGGCTGAGCGAGGCTTATATATCCATTTCTGAGTAACGAATTATTTCATTTTCCTACACGATCCTCGCGTGGAAATGTTTTAACCTTGGCAAGGCTGCATAATGTTCAAACCTTGGCAAGGCTCTGGGTTCGCAGCTTCGCGGGGAGATTCTGGGCCTTGCAGGTCAGTCAGTCCTGACAAGGTTTGGGGATACAGTCGGCCAGTTGGCGGTGTGAGGGATCGGGAGCACTTACTCCAACCAGCGTTCTCCAGTGCTATCTCACGGCACATGTTATATGATGCAAATTGCGAGCCTCGTTTGCCTCGTTCCGGTGCCAGTCTTCCCATCCAAATGCCGCATAAAAATCCCCAGACTTCCTCTCCCCTAAGTGCCGCACACCGTACAATCCCTTTAGCGCGCCGTCGAGCATATCTTCTATAAGATGAACCCCAAGTGCTTCGAAAAGCTTTCTTCGAACCACCGGAAGCTGGCTCACTCTCCTTTTATCTACCGTGCCTTCGGCTTTCTTTTGGCCTTGCGTCTTTTCATACCATCCTCATTTCAATCCTAACATCACTGAACTCTCACGCAAGTCATTATACATTATTGCCTTGGACGAGCACGGACTCCGCTGCCACTCACCTGCTTGAATCGAAACCATGCCTTCAACGAACACCAGACGCACCACGAGTGACAACCCCTCATCGTAAGTTTAGCAGACTTTACTACGTCTGTCTTTCCTTCTTCTAAAGCCTATTCAATAATTCATATGACTGACTTCATCGTCTCAGACACTTGTCAGACCAGCAGACCGCCGCCAGCAATGTCGAGCATCGCTCACGCTCTACCATCTCTCGATATGATTCCGCCTCGCCAACTTCTCGCTTGACTTCCGTGGCCAATAGTGCATCATCATCCACATTGCTTGCGAACCAGGCCATGCATCGACATGAGCTCGGTCAGACAGCACTTCGTCACAACCCTGCGGCCTATATCCAGACCCAACAGGAGTATGACATGCATCTCGAGACTGCGATTGACGCCCCGGGTGCTCAGAGTCTACTCCCCACTCGTGACCGAATCACCCAATATCTAATGGGACTTCCGGGAATCGATCGATTCCAAACCTTAGCCGACTCTCCCTACCACCAGCACAACAGCGACTTTGCGGTTCAAGCTCCATCCAGTAACGGCTCCGTGGCATCTACCACGCCCCATAAAGCCCCCTGCAGCACTTGTTCAACCCGGGATCCTCACAGCTCTGTGGACGCGAACGGGGATGCGGATCCACAAGATCCTTGTCAAGGATCACTGCAGTCTTCGGGAACAGTAGAAGATCTTGCTGGATGGGGTGAAGGGCTCGCTGGCGTCGGCACACAGTTTGAACTGCAAGAGTATCCGGAATATGGCAGGCAATTGCGCGTGAATAGCAGTATATGAATAATGAGATGCTTGTAGAAGGAGTCACGTGAGACATACCACTTGGGAGATTTACTCTACCTAGAGCAGTGCAATAAAAGGGCTGGATATTTTATGAAAACTTGAAATACGAAAACACACGCTGGCGCTTATTTGGGAGAAAGAAAAATGGATCTCTTTTGCTAGATGATCAAGGGGTGAATAAAAGTTCGCTTGCTCGTTTCGCCATGCATCAATCCAACATTTAAAATCATCAATAATGACTCACCTCATCCTCCACGCTCATACTCATCCACATACCCAGGATCGGTTTATCCAATCCTCTTCTCCAACTTCTTCAAGAATCCCGAGACGCCCTTCTCCAGCTGCCCTGCCTTAGCTTCTAACTTTCCTGCCGGAGGCTTCGTCGGCTTGTTTTTGATTGCCGATTCGCCCTCCGTTGGCCGGTACAGCTGCTGATGAATGGAATAATCAGTCATCAACGGTTTCATCCCACTTAAGTTGGGATTATAATTATATTGCGAAAATCCTCCGGGTGGGGGCATATTCGGGTTATAGGCGCCTGGTGCAGGTTGTGTAGGAGACATCGGAGAGTAGATTCCGGGAGGGGGAATTCCTGGAGAGGTGGGATAGTTCGCGAATTGAGTAGCTGGGAATTGAGTTGTTGCTTGTGCTTGGTAGGCTGGTGGCCCAGGGGGAGGGTTGATAGGGGTAGTTGGGGGTGGTGCAAATGTGTTTTGGAAGTGTACAGCGTATGGAGATTGAAGCGGCTGTGATTGACTTGGGGGAATCCCCACACTTTGTACTGGGGGCCCCGCAAAGTAGCTTTGTGGCGTCGGTGGTTGAGCCGGTGGTCCTGAGAATATAGGGGGTCCCGAGAATCCAGGAGGTCCCGAGAATCCACCCCCTGGGAACTGATACGGAACGCCATACGTTTGACCCTGGTCCGATGCTGCGGCAGCCACGAGTGGGTTAGCATCTCCATCTTCAGGAGGTGGTGTCTTTTCTCGGTGTTTGATAGCTTCAGGAGCGGCTGGTGCTGCCGGATTGTATGCCAAGGGTGCAAAGGCGGGTGTTTCTTGATTTTGCGGTGCTGTCTGCGGAGTAGAACTCGATGCCGAAAGCCTATTGGCTTCTTGGTTCTGTGGCACGGGAGAGAATGGAGGCGCTGGAAACGAAGTAGATGCATTTCGAGAATCCCTGGTACGGCCATGCTGGTAAGAAGGATCTGTGATGGCCACGTTTTCCAATTGTTGAACAACTGGACTCATGTCATCTGCATGAGAAGGTGGCGTAGTTGGCTCGTCTGAAATGGTAAGCTGCTCTTGAGGCAAGACCCTTCGGGCCCCATTCAGGAATTGTACAGCATCCTCCTTGGTCCAAAAGTAGATATCAACGGTGTGAAGTCGATACATGTACTTGTTCTCGTTCCGAGGATCGAAAGTGGGCAGGTGCCACTCCTGAGTATCGACTGGTATAGAGCTGTTCCGCTGCCCATTTTGCCCATTGACAGTTAGTGTGAGCAAAGAAGGATGTCTGTAGGAATAGTGGATATGGGCTCCATCCAAGTCTGGAGAGAGCTAAAGGTCAGCGCTTGTAAATTTCACAATTCGAGATGCACTGACATCCATTGACAGCATCTTGATCAGGAGTCCCCGCATTGTTCGCAATCTCTAAGCGCGCTCTCCTCTGTGCTGCAATCTCGAAGAGGTAAACATAGGAGCCTTTGTCGAACCGGTGGTGAGGCGGTTTGGCTGTAGGTGGCCCGTAGTAATAATGGATATCTGCGAAACTTGTCCGCATCAGAGTCAAGCTTCCGGGCAGAGGATCAGGAGCAAACTCACAGTGTTGCTACTAGATCTTCGCCAGGCCTGGCAGCCATACTGATACTGTCTTCCTGGGTTGCACGAAGCAGCTATACGTTGGTAAAAGGAACGCGCTTTCTGCGCGGCCAAAGGAGAAATTCGAAGTAAGGATAAGAAAGAAAGAAAGAAAAGATACTCTGCACACAGCTCGAGACTTACCAGTTACCATGATTCCTTGGTGGGGGGCCCCTCCAAATGCTTGACCTGAGCTGCAAGTTGCAACAGCTCGGCGGCAAAGATGCAGAAGAATGGCCAATCAGGACAGAAGAAGAGCCCAGAGCCCAATGCAGTGTGCGGCCTCAGGTTGTAAGGCTCCCAGAACCGAACGCAGCGAAATAATTTTGAGCCGAGCTGGTCTCGAATATGTATCTCGAAAATTGAAAGCCGCTCCCTCAAGACGACGATTGAACCTTGACCACCGCTCCGGTAGTTGTACCGCATCGTTCGCACTATCTTTATCAAAAGTAAATCGTCCCAACTGCTGGCATCTTTTCCTCATCCGGCTAACGACGTGCAGCTGCCCCTAGATTCCATCAACTGGTGAAGCTCTCCACGGAGCCCGCGCGGGCCCATTGCACCCCCCTTCGATACCCCTTCGATACCTCCCACAATGTCCCTCGTAAACCTGGCACACGTCTGCTCGCATCTGCAAAATGCTTCCAGGGCACGACTTGGCTTAACGTCCGTCCCGTCAACCAACCTCCACCTCACGCTCCTGTTAGCGCTCCAGAACTCGGGCTTCCTCTCCTCTGTCACACGCGGAGGCATCACGCCTCCTCCGATGGACCAGCTCTCCTCATATGTCCCGGAGCCTGTTACTCAGAGTAATATCGCTACGAGGAGATTGTGGCTGGGTCTGAAGTACTGGAATAACGAACCGGTGTTGAGCGAGATGAAGATGGTCAGTAAACCGACGAAGAGAGTGTGGATGGATGTCGAGGGCTTGGGGAAGATTGTTAGAGGGAGACAGGCGGGAGAGATAAAGGGGTTGACGAGGCCCGGGGAGTGTATGTATGTTAGTACAGATAAGGGGATATTGGAGTCGAGGGAGTGTGTGGAGCGACGGGTTGGAGGGATGCTACTCTGCAGAGTGTTGTAGGGCGCGATCTCATGGAAACTCCGGGAATCGAGTCTGTTAACTACTCGGGACCATTTATGCCTAAGGTTCTGGGAGATGTACAATATAATCCGCATGGACGGCGTTCGATACTGGGGATGGAATGCAAATATGGCAAAGAGCCTATCAGCGGACTGTATAAATAAAACTATACTCAAGTTACAAGAAATGATGCATTAAGAGTGCCAGGTTGGGACACAAAAAGTATCCTTTTAGAACATAACTTTTGATTTACTCAAACAATGTATCTACAGACGTCTCAGGATATCTTCAACAACCTCAGTTGTGGTGGCCTTTCCTCCCAAATCCGGGCTCAGGAACTTGCCCTCCACAAGGTTAGCATCAACGGCAGCATAGATCTTAGCGGCAGCGGCTTCCTCATTCAGGAACTCCAACATCAAGGCTACACTCCTCAGAGTCGCAATTGGGTTTGCAATGTTTTTGCCCATGATATCGGGTGCACTTCCATGGCATGGCTCTCCGATCGCGAAACCTTCACCAACGTTGGCACTTGGCACAAGACCAAGAGACCCAACCAAGGCAGCAGCTCCATCTGACAGGATGTCTCCGTACAAGTTGGGAGCCACAATCACGTCGTAGGTCTCTGGTTGACGGAAGAGCTTGTAGACCATGGAATCAACGATCTGCTCCTCCACACCTACGCTCGAGAACTTGGGAGCAGCCAAGGCTTCCCTGGCGGTAGATCGGAAGAGGCCATCCGTCTGACTGAGGACGTTCGACTTGTGTGTAATTGTGACGAGTGGTGACTTGTGTATGCTCGGAAGCCCCATCTCTCTGGTCTTCTGTCGTCGCAAAGCGATTTCACCAGCCATTGTAGCAATACGGAAGGAAGCTTTCTCGGAAATCCTCTTGATAGCCTCCGCGATCTTCCCACTGCCATCCGCACTATCATAGGTCTTCTCTTCCTTCACGTATAGGTCCTCTGTGTTCTCTCGCACGATAACCATATCAATTGGGTTCTGAGCTGTCGCAACGCTCTTGACAGGTCTCACATTGGCGTAGAGATCCAGGCGTTTGCGCAAGGCGACAATCGGGGAAGAATAGCCCTTGACGGCCTTGGAGGGGGAACTGACGGCGCCAAAAAGAGCCCCATCGCACTCGTTCTTGAGGACCTCAACGGTCTTATCTGGCAGAGCTGTGCCGGTCTGCTCGAATGTTTCAAAGCCGGCTTTGAGGTCCACGAATTCGAATTTGAGGTTGAGCGAGGAGGGGAGCGCCTCGAGGATGCGTCGACCAGCGGGGATCACCTCCTTCCCGATCCCGTCACCAGGAATAAGACCTAGGAAGTGTCAGCAGGATGCATGTATACACCAATTGCTTGCCGACATACCTATGCGCAGAGTTCTTGCAGCCATTGTGTTGCTTGCTGTTGTGAAAGCGATGTCGGTCTCAAAATATTTTTGAAGCTCTGACTCTCCAACCACGGAGTCTATTGGCGCCGACCGATCTACGCTTGGGCGCTCGGGCGGTGAACCCTGGATACCGTGTGGCCCCGGCAATAATAAATACTGTATAATGCAGATGATAATAACGATTTATCGTTATAACTTTATGAATTTATTAAATTATTATTAAATTACCAGCGTGTTAAATTGCAATATGCGGTAAATGGTTAGATTATTAAATACCCCGTAAACCATCCCATAAGGGCGTACACCGTTGGGTTCGAGACGCGCCGAATGGGAGATCACGAGAAACTTCCCAACTCCTCGCCTTCAAGACCTTCTTTGTTCACTTCCTTGCTCCCCCGTACCGCGCTCTTTGCGACAATTGTGTCGCGCCCGACCGTGCTTTCTGAACAGCTGTCTGCAACTTTTGTCTCTTTGATCCAGCACATTCATTGTTTTTACTGTTACAGATTACAGGAGCTTTCTACCTTAATTACTTTACCTACGGGCCTGGGCAGGCGCATCACTTCCTGAAAGTGTCAACTTCGACGAAATCCCGATCTCGAGAACCCGGAGTCTCAGGGTCCTCATTCCTGCCGGACTTCATTTAACGCCCGACCGAGAGCGACCGCACTACGATTAACAAAGTTCAAACCCTCCTTGAAATCTGTCAAGATGTCGGGAGGCGTGCGAAACCTGCGAGCCATGTTTGAAAATAGGGACCAGGCCGCCAGTCCTCCAGATAATAGGGGTCGGTCTCCTGGAGCGGGATCAACGGGTGAGTTGTTCCATCCCCCGGAACATTGGAACATTAGCAGGGACTAAGGGGGTTTAGGCGCAGCTAGTAACGGAACCTCACCGCGACCTCTCTCCAAGATCCGAACCAACTTCGTGACGGTGGAAAAGAACGGACAAACAGGCCTCCAATTGAGGAGAGAGAACAGTAGTGAGCCAAGCATGGCCAAACGAAGAGGGAGTTTCAGCATCGATGAGCGGGATCAGCCGGGAGCCACGGCAGAACGGACGGAATCACTTGCTGCGGAGGTCAATGCGAGGAAGAACAGTTCGGTAATTGGGGAGGCCATACCGGAAACTGCGGTTGAGACACCATCGACTGAAGTCGACAAGAAATTAGGGGATTCGAAAAAAGAGGCTACAAAGGCCGCAGATACGAAGGAGGAAAAGAAGAAGACCATGGGTTCGACACGCAGTGCTACTACGCATGCCGGCAACACATCGAATGGGAAGACCAATGGCCACACTAAACCAGCGGCTACGGCAGGGACCGTAGGAAAGCCCTCCGCGAGCAGGACTACCACTCGGCCCGCTCCCGTTTCGATTGCGAAGACCTCTGCGGCATCCAAGGCCTCACCAGGGGCCGCCAAGTCGCCGGGAGCACCAAAAACACCTACGATATCGAGCCGAAGCCATGCGAAAGAAGCATCAACTAAAGCTTCTCTTGACAAGAAATCGAGTAGAGCCTCGCTGGCAAGTCAACCCTCGAAGCCTTCCAGCAGCGGCTCAACCACAGGCCAGGCCTCTGCTCCTAAAACAAAGACACAGCCATCACCATCACGGTCTGGCTTCGTCAAGCCTAGACCAAAATCACCCACGCGACCTGTGAAACTTCCGGCATCGCTCACTGCCCATACCGCTTCCTCTGGTTCGAAGACGGCAACGGCACCCACAACCAGCAGACAATCGCTCAGTCGGGCTTCTGGAAATTCCCAACCCACTAAATCGTCGCAAGCCCAAAAAGCTCCATCTCGGTCCTCAAGTCGTGTCGGTACCACAGCCTCTACAAATTCCACTTCCAATTTGACGCGGAAACCATCAACTCTCAACAAGACCAGTAGTCGACCATCACTCGGCCCACCTCCAGCAACACTTAAGAAGCAATCATCACGGCAAAGTCTATCTCATCAGACTGCACCTGTTGATGATTCCTTCCTAGCTAGAATGATGCGCCCAACGACTGCTTCAGCATCAAAGACCACCGAGAAGTCTGATGCGACTCCACCGAAGAAAGCTCAGCCTGTAAAGAAGCCTGCAACAAAGGATGGACCACCAAAAATGCATATAGCGCCGAAGACAAGTACTGCTGCTTCAAAGACGACCAAGCCAGGCGCGGTTTCTAAGCCTGCTACGAAAGAGACCAAGCCTCCCGTTTCTGTTGCGCCCAAAAAGGAAGCACCAAAACAGGCAACAGAGGAAGCAAAGCCTGTGGAGGAGTCTGCTCCTGTTGCGGAACCAAATGCCTCAGAGGCTCCAGCGGCGTCTGCTGAATCTACTACTGGTGAAACTGGATCCGCCGAGCCTACTAATGTCCAGAAACCCAGGACGGAGGAAGGGTCTGCATCCGAGGCCCCTGCAGTTGACGAGCCGGAGTCGGTGGATGAGGCCACCCCTAGTGATCCTGTAGCCACGGCCCCTGCAGTAGAGGACAAACCTACTTCTGAAACAACACCAACCGAAGCTTCTCCAATTGAAGAATCGACTGTAGCCCCTGCCCCCGCGGAAGAAAGCCCGTCTGCAGCGACCGAATCACCTGCCGCTGTTGAAGAGCCAGAAGCGGTGCTGGAAGACTCTGAAGTATCCAAGCCTGAATCATCGAAAGATGAGGAAGTCAAGACTGAGACTGAGCAAGCCACGGAAGTGGAGGAAGTCAAGACTGAGACTGTGCAAGCTGCGGAGCCGGAGGATTCCAACGCTGAGGCAGCCCCAAAGGTCGAGGAAACAGCTGAGGTCGAGAAAGTAGCTAGGCCTACTCGAGAACCAGAGGAACCAGAAGATCCGGAAGACGCTAAAGTGAGGGCAGAGATAGCGAAAATTAATGAAGAGCTCCTGAGAGCAGCAGCGGCTGCTGAGGCTGCTAAGGCTGCTGAGTCTGCTAAGGCTGCTGAGTCTGCTGAGTCTGCTGAGGCGACGGAGGGTGCGGAGTCGAAATGAGACAAGTTTGTGGTCTGTTGTGTGGGATTCTCGAATGGTGATAAACAGGCTTGTATTGGTAGGGACAAATATGTAGTAGTAGAGAATGTTAGTGAGCGATATACCCCAAGCCCCCCTTGGGAAAAAGCATAGGTCATTTTCACAGTTTAATATATAATAAAGAAATACATACATACCTTAGTTCTCTGGAGATAAGTGAAGTAGAAAATGAGACCCTTACCAGTTTTCTCACGTGAAGTTGTGAAGAATCAGTTCTCCAAGTTGCGACTCAGCCTGAATTTATCACGTGATGAAAATGCCCACCACATTCCTCACTATAAAAGTCACGATGTCACTTCTTCCCTAGAGAACTATTTATCACATAACAATTAATAGTTTGTTAGATAGACATGATATCTACCAACCTTCCTTGCCTACCTAGGTAACAAGTACAACATGTACAAGTTAAACCACGTCGTTGCTTTCAAGACGCTAGTAGCAGACAGCACAGGGGCTCGCTCGTCTAAACTCGGTTAAATAAGGGATCCTGGATAAGCGAAGGGGTTAGGGGTTGTTCCTAATACCTTAGCGATGCAAGTTGAACTTTCCGTGTTGTCGGGTTGTCGGGTTTATTCCAGCAGACAAGAGTGTGCACACGGTTCGTTGTCGGGTTATATCAAATGGCTTGTGAAGTGAAGTTGTCGATCAACTCTCGTTCTCGTTCGAAATTCTTCTCTTTCGTAATGGATGTAGATCTGTCTGTGGAATGCACCAGTGCAGTCTGCATAGGTCATAGACAGTTGGCGTATCTTCTTCCTCCAGCATGTAATCTTTGTGTTCCTCCTTGTTTTGTTCCTTGTCTGTTGGTTTCCGCATGGCTTTGCTGAGAGACCTGTTTCTCTTCATCTGATGTCCTCACGCCTGTATCAAGATCCTAGGATATCTTTGTTAGCATAGGAATTTGATGGCTCTAGATCTTTCCAATCTGCCTATAGTAACAGCTCCTAGATCTATCATTTCATCCTCGGGAGTCAGATCCTATATCGCGCAAGAGAAGTATTTCCATTTGAACCTACACAAGCTAATAACCCTTCAGATTGCCTAAAGCTTGATTGTTTGCTTCTCCCCCTCGGCGCGTAGAAGACCTATACCTGTGTATCTGATTAGCTTGAGTCTTGAGTTATTGTGATGCTGGAGGGGTTGGTATAACTGGGATGTGGGATCTGGGATGACTTGGTGGAAAGGATTAGATTGTTGGAAGGGCTGGAGTATAGAAGGATGGAATACGAGAGAGTGGAGAAGGCGCAAAGATACAAGGAGAGCTCTGTTGCAAACAAAGACAATCTTCTCTCTTCACCTGCTGCAGCGCCCTGTCTTCGATCTGGAGCAACTAGGACGATTATGCCGGCTTCGAGTCTGTTTGGGAAGGTTGCTTCCAAAGTTTAGTCTGGAGCACCGTATACACGTTATAAGGAGCGGTCTACTTTATCATGACAGATTCGCGCTGTAGACACTGGGAACGTGAGGTTATTGGTTTGAAGACTGCATTGAAGTCTGTATTGCAGTTTTTCATACGTGATCTCATCCACAAAGCCTTATGATTCCCCTCCACAAAAGCTCATTTCCGATACGAGTAGAAGCGCGTCCATTCCATCAGTAGCATTGTACAAGCCACAGGTGTATTGCCATGAGGACCCTAATCGCTGTGCAGTAATTAGTAACTTGCCAACTGCGAGAAGCTTCGAGGATCTACTAACCTGCCTAAAGGCGTCAACTCACTCACTAGTCGGTTGCATCTGGATGAGCGCCGTCCGGGATTCCGCGCATCCACTTCATGATTCTATGGCTCAAGCGCCGAGCTTTATGGTCATGAAAGTCCGCGTCGGTCCTAACGATGGTAGGGTGCTCGGGGTCGACGATGTGCTCCATGTATCTACCACAGGAGAGGCAGTACTGGCGGAAGCTGGAGAAGCCCACACGATGGCAGACAAAACAGTAGTGCCAGTTTGTCATGGCTGATACTTCTGACTTTGGTATCTGTAATTCATGATAAGTGTTTAGCAAGTCAAACAGTTGGTTGGACGGTTTTGATACCTTTTGAAGGACTTAGTGTTGACTTTCGATCTGTAGTCTCTGGTAAGTGTTTGACTAGCAGATTGCGGATTCGAAGGGTTTAATACCTTTTGAGAGAGTTGGTGTTGTTGGTGGACAAGTTTTCGTTCGTCACTGACTTTCATAGAACAACTATCGTGGATGGGATACCAAAACAACTCGTCTAAATTCACTCCCAGGCTAACCGTCTCACGTGTTGATGGTCGTAAAAGCTCGCTAGTACCTGGTCTCATATTCCCATTCTTCTGGGAGCCATAATGTATTGATTTTTCTTTTTGTTTTAGGTCTTGAGGTCTCTTCTTCGGGCGGGAATAGAAAGACTGGGAATGTTCTCGGAGTTTATAGTGTCCATCACTTGGGAGGAGCTTCTATACTAGCCCTGAGGGGAAAAGAGTCTCCAAACCCCTAAGTGTTTCTCTCAGGACACAAGAGACTTCTATGCTGTGGAACGCGTAGATAGAAGTGAGTCAGAGATTAGAATTTAGAGCTGCCAAATATCCTATTTGAATATCACACGAGATATCAAAGCACTCGAACTCTTCCAATTGATTGATGCAGGCATCTTTCAACTCTGGTCCCTCTCGATCCGTTTGTAAAGTTCAGCAGGTGGATCTGGAGCCAACTTGGGCGCATGAGGATTGGTGCTGTTGGCTATGAGTTTCAGAATATCATCTCTGTGTAAACATAACATTTCATAGGCTTCATGATGTCTTCTCTGAATGGTCCTATTATTCTCCCATTGCTCACCAGGTGCCGTACATTGCTTTTGGCGCTTCGTGTCATGCGAGTCGATTTGAGGAAGAGCTGCGTGTGGTTTAGAAATCCAGAATACAATATGAAAGCGAGTCAAACACCTGGTAAATATTCTGCCACGTATACAAGCTGGGTTTGTAAGTTATGGAAGCCAGCGTAAATTCGAATTACTAAATCCGATGCTTTGTACAACGAGTCTTCCAGAAAATACTCTCCCTACCTCAGATATCCTTCATGATCTCGCTATCAGCGTCTTTGGGGCGGATAGGGGGTAAATCGTTGTCCCCAACCATATCCAGAAGTACTAGGTCGAGCCCAAGGGTTGTATGAACTTTGAACGCCACTGAGCCAATTCTGAAGTCGTTGTCGCCGCTCGGCTTCAGAGATCATGCCGTATGGACGAGTTCCACCACGGGTCGATAGGCTCATTGAGTCGCCGCAAGCCCCACAATCATCATCATTATCACAGAAGATATCCCTTTCATTGCAGGAAAGGCATCTTCTCCAAACAGGCATTTCGTAGGTTCTTTTCGGTAGAGCTGTATTATTGTTGCTTCGATTTGATTAGGAGTCGAGAATATTGGTCGAGATATTGTGGATTTCGGATTTGAAGGTGGTGGAGGCTCAAGAGAATGGAAAGACAAGAACAAGAAGAGGAAGCATAAATAGTGGAAGATGAATAACAGCTCTAAATCTGGGGAAATTCTGAACGTAAGTCGCCATGAATAATCTTAGACGACGGACAAGCATCACGACTTCGTGAATCCTAAAGCGCATAGCCTGAATGACTACGTGCATTGACGTAGCGTTGTAACGGTACACAAACCAATGGGGAACATCTTCTGAATGAGGAATGCTCCGAGGACAGAGGCGGGAATGGCACAAGGTGCAACCCGAGAGGCTGATATTCTCGGATATTTCAGTTCTCCGTGAGAAACATATCAACAAGAAAGAAATGCCTTTCAAGGTGATTGAGGACATGAAAGATGCTTCGTGTACGAGTTCCTGGTTGCTTTCCAGAGTGACCGGCCAAAACTGCACTCAGTTCATCAGCAGTCCCATAGACAGTGATGGTTCGAGTCGTGAGTAATTTACTAATGTCAAGCACGTTGCCCAATGCAGAGAGCAATGTGGTGGCAGCGCGGCATATATACCCCACTGGGAGCCTTCAAAGCAAGAGACATCGGTGAGAAAACGATTGATGGTCTTCTTCAGTAATTTGCCCCAGAACTTTCCCGTATTTCATTATGTACTTTTCACATTTTCCACCACTTATATTTCTCTTTGGCGCCTGGTAGAGCCCCATGCTAATCCTTGAGGTTCTTCTGGGTCGTTTTGGAGGATGGTCCTGTCTTCGTACCCCTGATGATATTTATGATTGTCAGGAATTATCTTTTGGCTGGAATGCTCTTTTTTGGCCTCATAACTGTCCATGTCTGGAGGCTGGACCTACCATATCATGAATCACCACTAAGTGGAATAGGGATAATCCAGGAAGATGGCTCTGCGGCCATAGCCATCACTGATGGACATAGTTGTCGTTCTGCAGAAGGGGCAAAGACAATTGCAACTGCCACTTGAACGATTTAAATGGCGCAAGATTTCATGCCAGTGATTCAGTGAAATTCTGGTTCTATCCAAAAGCGATCGGGTTGTGTGGCACAAGAAGGGATTCAAAGATGCAAGAAAGGGGACGGAATATACGTCGCATTTGGGAGAACTCCTCCATACTTAAATGCTGCACAAGAAAGGAGGATAGAACAAGCACTTGCATACTATATCTTCGAGCATCTTGTACACTGTCAAAAGTGCCTCCTCTGCAGTTGCTTCGGTCATTCGACTAATATATTAGTCAGCTTCCTGGAATCCGTATGTGGTAAATCGAGTCTGGACTAGATCGACACAATATCGAGGATTGACAGTTGAAGCTTTCTGATTCTCTCTGATTTACTTTCGTTGTATTGGAATATTTAACCGTTTAAGCATCGTGTCGCCTTCGGCCCAGTTGAGTGAAGCTGCAAATGTGAAACACCAAAGACAAAGAAGAAATTGGCGTCCAACATATCGCATGCGGAAACATCGAACAAAGATCTTCGACAGTGGTCTGGCGATTCAATTTCTGGTATATAGGTTAGTTGACTGCTTGGAAGTAATGGAGATCTCCCTGCTCTACCTGACAACTCACGATACTGACATTATGGCCAGTCCTTCGCCCACCGTATTTGCGCGGAAATATGGGCCCAAAAATGGAACCCACCGGAGCGGCTTTACGCCTCTCGAATATCTATTCCCCCGACAGATTCCCGACTCAGAGAAACAGAGTATTAGGGATAGGGAAGATTTCCAGCGTCGGGAGCTCTGCGGATTTACCACACGAGAACTGGCCCAGCTCGATGTGATTAGCGACAGGGAATTGAAGAAAGGCAATTTAGAAAACTGTATCCATCCATTACTGGCACGAGACCGATGGGAGAACGAACCCCCTCAACCATCTTTCACCAGAGACTACCTGTACCCCTTACATAATGAGAACGGCTTGTGGAGCTCAGACAATCCTGATGTCTGGAGAGTCCTAGAACCATGTCTGAAGCTGGCATCGCGATTCCTTGTCTCGATGCATGCGTTACCATGGGTATGGCACCTGCTTCCCTGAGGAATCCATTGTTGTTGCTATTAACAAAACGTACAGTTTGACGCCCTCATAAGAGGGGAACGGCGGCCTATTCCGCAAGAGCGATGCCCTCCTGGGAAAAGTCCTGATGGGTTGTTTTCGTATCATACAGCACCCTCAATGGATCCAGATATGACTGCTCTTATTCGTGATCAAATCTTTGAATCTCTTCGTACAAGGTGGAATCTGAGATTCTGCTTTATGTCATCTGATGAAGATCCAAGAGGCCCAGAAGTTGAAGATAGTGTTGGTGGTGAGTACGCTTTCACAGTCACAAATGATGATGAGATGGTTGGTAGTCCTGAGATCGACTTTCGCACGTCCCATTTCCTTGATCTGTTGTCAGCCCGAAGAGGAACTAATAGGTTGTGTAGAAGTATGACCAAGAGAGCAATCCTGTCTGGCGTATCTTTATTTTCATAGAATATTCCGGATTGGAATCTTTGATGAGATCCGATTTAACTTCAGCTGACCGCCTACTACTTGGTAAGCATGGCAATGCTTCTGCAGTTCCAATCATTTCTCACGCAGCACTGACTGATACACTGTTCAGAATGGGAAGTAGCCAATACTGTAAGAGCCAGCATTTGCCTCTTCTTGAAAACTAGATAACTGGTGGAACTAGGTAGTTCATGAGGTCATGCATGCCGTTGCCATTCCCCTAGACTTCAACATATGGAAAAGGAAAGAGCACTATTTTGAACTCACCCCATTATCAGAAATTGGATATGATTTTGAAGTTTCTGTGGGTGTTTCCCGCTACCGTAGTTGTTTGGTGCTAATTTCTCAGGTTTTCGGTGGAAGGACTTTCCCTATGACTTCTGAGCCCGGATATCTGCCCCTTGCCTATTGGCTTGAAACGAAATATCCTTGCTATACAGATGTAAAGTCGAAGTCTCCCCATACAATAACACTGGTCGGTCCGGCGCCGTTCGATTACCAAATTAGGTATCCTGTGCCGGTGACTTTCTACCAGGATCAACAGCAGGAGGAGTTTTGGAACATAGTTGTAAGGACATTTGGTTACGGCTTCCTTCATTATCGATCTTTACGGGAAGGCTGTAGAGTGGACTACCAAGTTGACTTCGATCACAAAAGACAGAGGTTCGCTTGGAAACAGGCCAGCAGCGACAGAGTAGCAGGATGTTTACCATTTGAAACGAGGTCTGAAACTTTCAGAGGCCACGTATCAGAGCTTGAAAGATTGTTGCAAATGACACCATATCAGAGAATTGGGAGGGACTTCGGGCAAGCATTCCTGCGGAGCTTACGAGAGGAAGATGCTTTCTGGACAAGTACTACTTTCCAAGAGGTCAGTGTGAAAGAAATTATCAAGCAGATAACGCAGGTGCCGGCAAACAAGGAAGAAAAGGCTGAACTACTCGCATCATTGGCGGCTCTAATCTCAGAAGCAGGGAAGTATCACGAAGCCATGATTGTTTCAATCATAGCCTCAGAAGAAATCGAGGGCTCGACCTACACAGACAGGAGGAGAAATCTTCTTATTTGGAATAGGGGGACGAGAGACTTCGTCTGCAAATTGCGCAGACTGATAGATGAAGAGAATGAATACACGGCAGCTCTGGATAAGGATCTGCTTGCCCTTGAGCTATGTCGAATGAAGCTGTGGTCTCCAAAACATGGGATTGATAATGTGGCAGACTTTGATGAGTTTGCTGAACTGGAGACAGCTCGCGACACCCCTCAGATGAGCAGGCAAATCTGTACTCGACTTCTGGCTGATGATGGCAGTTCGATATTTGCCAGATGCTGTGCAGAAATCATGATCTGTGCTTTAGATTGCAGTGTCTTGGAGGGCTGGGTTGAAAGACGCGATGCACTTACTAAACACATAGAAACGCTTTCGCGCTTTCAAATCCTGAACATACCAGATTGGACAACCTGTATTATGCAATGGGCGCAGCTTGCTGAGCAGGCAAGGGGACTCATTGTCCAATTCTGTCAAGCACCGGTTGAGCAAACTCTGGAATGAGGGTCCTATGACAGGGCCAGAGGAACTGTTTGTATCTTTGTTGATGTTTGTAGGTCTATTTTCAAAATTCGCAACTACAAATGGTGAATAGCTCAAAAACACTCTTTTTTGCGAGTGACGCTCGCGTATTCTATATTTAAGAGCTCCTCACAGTCAGAGATTCTCTTATATCTCCATCACACACGAGCACACTTTAAGAAAGGCCGACTATGCACACATGCCAATCTATCTGGCGTCCCCCGAAGGCGCTGAGATTCTTAGATTCCTGTGGCTACTCTTCGTCTATACTGTTCGGTATGCATTTCATTCTTTTCGTCTTGATCGCTCCTCTGCCGTTGTCATTCTCTAGACCATCGCGGTTATTGTTACGGCCGCTGTCATTTTTCAATGAATCACTGTTTCTGTTACAGTTCCTCTCTCTATCGCCTTGATTGTCGATTCGTCACTGTCTAGACGAAACCGGATTTCACAGCTGGCGACAAGGGGTGGTTGTCTTTGTTCCTCCAAGTTATATTCACTGCAGTTTACTGTCGTGTCTTTCTTTGTTTTGTTTGAGGGAAACTCCGAGACTAACAATCCTATGAGATATAATTAGTTAAACTGCCGGTAACCATGCCTCTTGCAATCTTTCAGTTCAACTCCGTTATCAAGGACTACAGCATTCACCCTCAGAAGAAGATCTCCAAACTACATATTCTCTCTTCTTCCCTACAAACAAGTCTAGATCTACAAACACCTTCACCTTGTGTGACCTAGCACCACCCTACCCTCTACACAATTGATCCTTCCTTGCAACCAATCGCCTCTTCTCCACCTCACAACCGAAGGCGATAAAGCACTACACTCCCATCTCATCTTTCCTCAAAGGCTCATATGTTTGCAGACTTCATGGCTCCTCAAACCGAGGTTGTTGACTATGGAGCCTTTGTGGCTGACGACTTCACCAAGTGGTCAGCGGGTTGGACCTGGACATGGAATGTGAGCTTCCTCAGACCCTCTATTGAATACCTACCTATAGGATGATATTCTAACTTTGTATTCTAGTCTCAGAAGGTGGACCCTAGAGACAGCAGCACAACTCCCAAATCTCGCGGTTTGAGTGGTGACTGCAAACCCCAAGGGGAGCAGACTCCACAGCTCTCACCCCGGGAAGCCTACATTGCTTCTATCTCCGCAGCGGTTCCACCTGCCGGGCTCTCTCCTCCACCGATACTGCCAGTCAAGCCACTCTTCACAACCGAATATTTCGAGGTTCGGCCCTCCCCAAAAGGCGGACTTGGAGCTTTCGCCACCAGAGAGATTCCCTGCGGAACTGTGATACACAGAGAGCAAGCATTATTCACCGGCACCTCGATGGAAGTATTCTACCTATACGAGCAGCTCTCACCAGACCAGCGACGGGAATATTTGGGCTTGCACGAGTTCAAGGGAGTAGGCGGGCACAAAATCCTATCGATTTTCAAGACCAACCGGTAAGATTGAATTATCAAAAGATGCTTGCTTTCTTCATGTTGACTAACGAGTCTTTTCTCTTATCAGGTTTGAGTTCAAGGGTTGCGAAGGCGCTATCTTCCTCAAATCTTCCCGGTTCAATCACGCGTGCCACCCTCATTCTACGTGCACGTATACGGTGAATAGGAAGGAGAAGACAATCAAGATCACGGCGCTTTTTGATATCAAGGAAGGCCAGGAGATTACTATTAGTTATGGTCCTTACCCGGCGAATCTGCCTTGGGCGTACGGCTTCTACTGTGATTGTCCTAGTTGCCCGCCGCCTGCGGTTGCCGAAGAGGAAGCGAAGATGTTGAGAGGGCCGGGATAAGGAGCTGAGGTTTTGCACTTAGTTGGAAGTTTGGGAGTGGTCAATGAATGGGAGTGGAAGACTCGGATGCGCATATGATTGTGGCTCAAGCGGAGTTTATGAGATTCAGAGCAGTGATATTCCTTTGCAGTAATTGGGACAGAGCACTGATTTATGAATCATGATATTCAACATTAAATCGAGCAATGAAAGTGAGAAGTTGCAACTGGACATGAGTCAAAAATAGCCGCTGAACTCTATTGTAAGGTTGCTCGCTTGAGCATTTATCTGTGAATGTCCCCTCTAGTACCTATCCTTCGTTCATAAAGTCACAGCGGATATCCTTTCTTCGCACTCTCTCTAATTCTTTTCGAAAACAATAACAACTGCCAACAACGCCAACAACATCAAGAACATCAACAAGCAAACATGAACGGAAACACTACACCAACCCCTACTCCCGCCCGCGCGGTCCCCGCTAGACCTCCCCCTGCCAGACAGCGAGGACCCACTCCGTTGGCCGACAGAGCACTGAACAGCTCAGCCGATGTGATGGCAGCATGGAGAGATGACGCGGCAGATGATGTTAAGGAAGAAAGTGCAGCTCTGTTTGGTCCTGATAGTGAAGACAACGGGGATCGCTTGACGCCCGCAAAGAGGGAGCTGATCAATTTCTGGGTCAGTGACTGTCAGCGTTCGCTCTGTCCAGGCTTCCGAGGACTTGGACGTGATGCACCATTATGGTTTCATCCATAGAAAGGAAAGAGATCATCATCTATGCTGCTTGTAATGGCGTAGGATGGAACCAGAGAATTTCTTGTGCTGTGGGTGGATTTGAAGGGAAGCTTGTGCTGAACTTCTGAATATGCATGGATTTCGGAGTACGGTTGGAGGTGAGTACATATAACACGTCGACCGTTGAAGAGTGAGGTTACTGAAGTTGCTTAACAGGCGTTATTAAGGTTCTCATGGATGGTGGAGATGCCGCTCATCAGTGTATTTGATCTACTCAAAGATAAGCTCAGAACTAGGATCGATACGTTTGGGATGGTGGTAGTGAGTGCCTTTGACGGATGAATTATTAGATAAAGGAACTTACTGACGTTTCTTGACAGTTGATATGGTTTCCATGGCTTGCGGTGATATTATTTGTTCATGTACATGGTTTTTCCTGCCAGATAACTTAAGACTAGGAATCAGTACATTGTTTTCCCTCTTTCATTGATACTTTGATCAATGTCTCTCCCATTCCAGAACTATCGAACTATTCACATCTGAGCAAAATACTGAATATAGGAAGAACTAACTTACCTACAAAGAACAGCGTTATGCGCTGCTGCTCGAAGATTACCCTCATTCCAAAACCGAGGTGATGGCGAGCGAGGCTTCCTGAGGGAACAAAATGATAAGGCAAAGCTAAAAAAACAATAATATTGCAAAGGACCCATGTATTACCCAGGAGAAAATATGCGCCGCATTTCACTGAGTGCGGAATTCCAACAACTGATAAGACCAAGGAACTTTGGAAGGAGGCCAGCTCGAGTCCTTATCTTGCCCAAGAAGGGAGGGCACACAGATCGGATCCTTGCCCGAGCCTATCGGAACATAGAAAGCAATCCAGCAGGGATCGCCAGAGGTATGAAATCATAACAGGAAACTGACGCTTCCGAATTCCAAGTATTATAAAGAAAACACTGATCCAAGCGTCAAGGCAGCCTTGCGAATCTGGGTGCGTGACTCTCTCACGCCTTGCTCAGGTTCATGACCCAAACTATCTTCTGCAACAGGAATATGGAGCAATATCACGCAGCCATTGAAATATGCAATTCGGGACTCGCCATCCGTATCAAGATTCGCAACACTTCTAACGCGCTTCAAACTACAATGGAACAAGTGAGCAGTGAGCACTTAGACACAAATCTCCAGCTCTTACACATAATACCTTACCTATCCCTCCACTCCCCAAACCCAACACGTGAAGGTCATTCAATCTTGAACCTTGAGAGGAATGAATCGCCCTCTGAAATTTGATTACTTGACGTCGAAGACCGGGGCGAGAGCCTCAGGACGCTAAATATTTAAGGTTTCTCGCGCTAAACCCCCGCGGGGACTGGGGCATAAGGTAGGACGGGAATAACGTCATCCTGAGTCAGCGACGAGGCAACAACCTTGGCAACTGGTTATTTATTAGATGCTTAGGTACGCCTGCTGCTGCTGCCGCGCGCTTCTGTTGATTATTGTCTGATTATCATACCACTAACACCTAACCCTCATAGTCCTCAGCTCTTCATTCGAAAGAAACCTAAAATCAAAATATACAATTGCTCTTCGTGACGAATTAACGAAAAAGAGATTTCGACGTTTGACGACGCCTCTTCTACAGATTGCCCAAGAGAGTCTGGCTCCTAAGGATCCTTCGACTGGTCTTTGAGTCCAAGAGAAAATACTACAAAAGGAGCAATGTCGGCTTCATCTGCTGTGCGTAGATTCTGTTCCTTTTACTTACCCCGTCTGCCCATCAGCCATGGGAGAGTCGGCGTGCTGGTTCCCCAATTGCGAATCCTATGCTGATTGACATCTTAACACCCAGTCCGACGTCTTCGCCTACATCGTCGCCATCTTCCTGCCTCCTCTGGCTGTCTTCCTTAAGACTGGATGCAGTGCCGACTTCCTTATTAACATCTGTCTCTCCATCCTGGGTTGGATTCCTGGGGTCATACGTAAGTACTCGCTGCATGGGGGATGTTGATTTGGTGTATCAGGTGCTGATTGTCTGGATAAGATGCGTGGTATGTCATTGCGAAGTACGACCCGGCGGCGTACAGATACAGATAGCTGGGCAAGAGATTCAGAAGGCGGCATTGGACGGGAGATTGATTGTGCAGTAGCTGTATACCAAGCGGAATGATAAAGGCTATTCGTTGTTTCTAATGTCTAAACTTGCTACAATAGCGTTCAACAGGTGATCCCTTGATGTTCGCCGCTTCTCACGAATCTTCATTCCACATGTGGGAAATATGGTATCCTGACTCTCAACTGTTAATACATCCACCATAGAATCATCTTCTCTCCATCTGCTCCCGCTCCCACCTTCCTCTCGCGTGGGGAAGCGAACGGTCTGTTCAGCATAACCCACAACGCCAATCCCGGACAGCTCAGCTTCGGGAAGAAGCGAGGTATTCAACACGCTTCTCATCCCCGCCTTCTATGCGAAGTCGCCGCTTTCAAATGAACCAGGAAGGCTGCCCACAAAGCTACCCGATGTACATGGGTCTCCGGTTCGGACAGTGCCATGACCCGTATAACCGAGCCTCTCCACTAGAAGAGTATACCCGAGGCTATCGACTTCCAGCTTGTCTCACAGTGAGACATATTTTTGAGAATTATTTCGAGTATAACGATATTTGCAGACATAAGCAGAGGATAAAAAAAGATTTCAAGTAAGTCTGGCATTGCACAAGAATGCACTGTTATTAGGAGTTTCAGAATTAATGTAGGCTTTGAATATCAGGGCGTGGACCTTGCATTTGGCCTCGTTCTTACCCATCTCCCAAGTTCGCAGACATGCCGACGAGAACAATGTCGCAATCGACCTAGTCGACCGATGCGGATCGAACAAGAGCGCCGTTCGATGCCCGGTGACTGGATCCAGATGTGTCGTGCAATCAAGTTGTAAAATGAGAATAATATCCGAATCAAACGTAATCCAGAATTTTGTGATACGGGAAACAAAATTGACCGGCTTCCTCGACAGTGAGGAATCCTCATCCGTAGTATATGTTCGCAATCCGACACCCGCTAACCTCCACAGAAAAGTAAGGATGGTAGGAGTCGCCCCATCACGGAGTAAATTGCGATTTTGATTTCAGCACATCTTCGGCACAACCGACAGTCATTGAAAAGACCGAATTGCAATTTGACATCCGTGCTAATCTGGCGAGAAAGAAAGGAAAAAAGATGGAATGGGAAGCTTCACTACTCACACCGCATGGTTCCAGGCTGCGCTGCTTCCATTGATCGCTGATACCCTGTTTTGAAATTATAATACAGTACATCGCTTGAAGCCACATGGACATTATTGGTAAAAAAGTAGGACCGCCGTCCACGGCGGGTAATATTATGGTATGGTAAGGCGAGGAAAGAAAGTTTACAACTCTCCATGATCATGTTGCCGGACGACGGCTGAGATTGAAGCTGGGTCGGTTGGAGGAAAAAATTTGCCGTTAGTCAGCTCGCTAATGGCAATGTCGAATCTCGCTCCTGCAATCCATGCAGCTCCGACCTTGTTGATGTTAGCACGCCCAGTCGCCCACTTAATGGGTATCAGATATACGAGATATACGTACCATCAGAGATGAAATCACCAGTAATGTCCCCACTACAGCAAGAAGAAGATAGAATATCTCACTCGCAGATTCTTCTTTGGCCTTCTTGTCCTTCTTCTGTCTTTCATCTGGCTCCCCTGTACCATGCATGAGGGACAGAGCCTTTGGATCCTGTGTCGGGTATAGGGACTCGATGAATTGCTCGATCTGTTCATGTCAGTCACGTTCTCCAAGAGGGTACTGCTTCATTACCTTTGCACACGCCATGCTGATTTGGAGGAAGTTGGGGTCTTTAGGCGTGTTCTTCTTGTGTATCCTCCTGGCGTAGCGCTGGAAGACTTCACAGACAGACCGTAGATTTTGCGTCGACAGCGTCATCAGCTCGCAAGCATCTCCTTTCGTAATCTTAACGTTCCTCTCGAAGATCTTAGGATTTCGGAAGACGAGCTCTAAAGTGGCAATAGCCATTGACTGCGGGATCGCGACGAAATTGAAGACACTTTGATCCTTGATACCCGCCATATAGAATAGACATTCATCAGCATGTCGAAGGGAGTTGAGAACCATCTCGGAGCTGCAGGCCAGGGCGGCATCCAAGTTCTTAGGATCAAACAGGTCCTCAAACTTGTCGACATGTTTCGACCAGATCTCCTTTGGCCAGAAACGTCTCTTGTCATCAATATCCTCTTTGATATCACGGATGATGTTTGTCTTCTGCAGGAATTGACCCATCGCTTCTGCAAGTTCAGGGCGTTTGAGCAATGCGGGGTTGGCAAACCCACCCTCCACGAATAATCTCGTCAACCCATCCCCAACCAGACCAGCGACATAATGGCAGTAGAGCTCGTAGTCCTCGACGGTGTTGACACCATTGATGTTGTGCTCCGCGTTGTTCGCATAGTCAGCCATGCCGTCTCCCATCTTCTTGGTGATATCCTTAATGATCGCCTGGTAGGCAGGCTTGACCAATTTGAACTCGGTGATGATAGCATCGAAATGTACCAGTAAATCCCGGTCCTTCTCATTCGGCCCATTGCCGTTAAAAGTCCAACCATCCTTCTCAATTATGTTATAGAAATCCCGTAACAACGGCTCCTTCTTCTCCAGGGGAATCGTCATGTCGTCTTCAATCGTATCCAAACCTCGCAGGATCAGGTAGAAGAGCGCAACAGGGACGAGTAATTCGGGATTCAGTTCTTGAATAACCGCACTGAAACTTCGACTGGTCATATTAAGGTACTTGAAGCACTCCTTCAGAGTCGCTGACTCCTTGGCTGGGTCGCGTGTGTGGACTGGCTCGTGCCATAACTTCCTGTAGAAAAATTAGCATATAACGTGCGACACGATGAGCGCTTGAAGCTTACCATTGCAATATAGATCTCAATTGATTAGGATGGAAGGAATAATACAAAAGTTGCGAAAGGAGACCCATCGTGAGCAGGTTGGTTGCGAGATTGCAACTCCTTGGAGGACTCGTTCGTAGATTCGTGGCCTCGGTGGAAAGGAGTAAGCAGCGCGCAATTCCACAGACAGGAGGCAACACGAAGCGATATGGAGGGGTATCAGGCGTAGAGAATTGAGAAAGGCGTTCGGGATCTTTAGTATGTGGAATACGTCGCTGGGTACGCGGAGTAAGGCACTCTGTCAAAACCAGGTATTCCACACGAAAGGTAGATATATTGATCTCCGCGCGTTATAATTGCGTAACAACGGTATGTCGGTGGAATTGGCCCACCGGGCCACCGCTTTTTCACGGCGCAGCCATTTCACGACCCCTGGATCCTGCGAACTGCAAGATGCGAACCAATCACGTCTGAACCAATCATATTGATCCCGCGTTCAGATTCGCTGAATCAGGCAATTTCTCGCCTCACAGCCTCGTTGCGGCTTACAGCTTGGCTCTCGGATTGACCAGAGCGAGCTGGTCTTCCTACGTGGGACCTGCCACGCTTCTACAACACCGCAGGTACTCTCCAGACAATGAGGTAGCAGGCGGCGTGCTTCTCTTTTATATCACATTCCTTTCTTTTACCCAAAATTCATACGATTCGCTTCAATGCGGACGGCGCCCTGATTCCTTTCAGCCTCGACGTCCACCGAGGTCTCCCTTTTGACCAGTCTCGCCGTTGACAATGGCTTCCCTCGAACCACTAGAAGAGGATATCGAGATGGGCGAGGACCTAGCAGACACGGTGAACACAAAGCTGGGTAGTGTTGGAGGGCTTGCAAAAGGCAGGAGGCTGCAGAAACAGATCCTTGACGGGGCTTGCATCTTGTTAAACATTACCAGTACTGTGGTTCTTGTCTTTTTAAATAAATGGTACGTTCGTCACGTTCCAGGATGGCTATGCGTGATAGCCCAATTGACTGTTTATAATATCAATTACTGACTCTATTGTGGATATTCAGGATCTTCCGCGACCCCCAGTTAACGAACATGCAAATATCCTTCGCCATGTGGCATTTTACATGCACAGCAATCGTTCTTTGGATAGCAAGCCGTTCCCCGTTCAACCTTTTCGTCGCCGTCCGCCTTCCCTTCTTACAAATGATACCGTTGTGCAGCTTCTTCGCCGGCTTTCTGATTCTGGGAAACCTGAGCTTGGCATATAATACTGTCGGATTTTACCAGTACGCCCGTCCGAATACCCGCTTCTCAGCAGCTAGGTAGAGCTGACAGTACACTAGATTGGCCAAGATCATGACCACTCCCTGCGTCGTATTACTTCAGTACCTCCTGATGGGGAAAACCATCTCGGGCCTTACGGTCGGAGCGCTAGCCAGCGTGTGCGTGGGTGTAGCCCTCACGAACACTGGGGCAGCCGGCACGACCTCTCTCGGGGCTTTCATAGCAGTGGTGGCCTTCACAGTGACGGCCTTCTACCAAGTCTGGATCGGGAAGAAGATGAAGGACTTTGCGGTTTCCAGCCCGCAGTTGCTTTTGAATCAGGCCCCGATATCTGTGCTGCTGCTAGCATTCGTCGCTCCTTTTTTTGATACCGTGCCGAATCTGGAGAAGATCCCTAGGGATACAATGGTCGCTTTGTTTCTCTCGGGCCTCGCGGCTGCTTCGCTTGTAAGTCTCCGTTTCTGGTGTATGTGAACCGTGCCTGAAAATCTGCAGAACTTGTCACAATTTCTTATCATTGGAAGGATGAGCGCTCTCACATTTAACGTCGCGTCAAAGTAAGTAGTCGAGTGTATAATCATGGGGATGAAGTAGACCGTAGCTTACAGTGCTCACAGCGTCAAAACAATTATCATTCTCACATATGGTTGGATCAGTGAAGGGCGGCTCCTGACGGTTAAGGATTCTTTGGGTATCATTTTGGCGCTTGGGGGCGCTACATTATATAGCCAACTCTCCCAACGCTGAGCGGCGAAAATCTATCTACATGAACAGTCCTAATATTACAAGAGAGCGTAGCCAGATAACGCCGAGCAATGGAAATTTTTGGGTCGCATAAATCAAGAGATGAAGGGACCAGAGAGGTCACTTAACCCTCGCCGGCCGAGGGGACATATATGTTGTATGAATCCGATCTACCAGGAGGGACAAGACATGAGCGTAAATGGGAAAGGAAATCGGAGCTCGGTTTTCCGACTAGAAAACGCGTAGTACCCAAGAGATATTAAGACATTGAGAGAAGTCGTCGCCAAGCTCTTTCACCTCTTCTGATTCTTCAGCATGAAATATGAATACCTGCGATTGTCAGCCATGTTCCCCCAGTGACAAGCAGAGTACCTACCCGATGATCCCCCCAACCGTCATAAAAATACCCAAAAGACTTTTGTCCGTTACCGATCTCCCACTGAATGCCCACCCAATGCTCACAATAGAGACTGTCTTCAGATGCCCCACAACCGTACTGCTGACCGGACCCGAACTATTCACAATGAAGAATTGGGAGATATTGATCAGGGAGGCGAACCCTCCACTCATCAATATCATTAACCATCGATACATCGGAACGTCGCCGATGACCGGGATGCGATCCACGAACGGGATGGCAAATAGGAGCATGACGCTGGAAATGGGGGCCTGGTTCAGAAGAAGCTGGGAGGACGACATTTGGAGTTTCTTGTGGTAAGCGCCAATCAGGACCGTGTAGACCGAGGACGCGCAGACACCGGACAAGGCAAATATCACCCCAAGAATGCTGGTGGTTTGGACATTTTGATCGGCGGAGGGCTTCGTGTCATAAAAGGTAGTGATACCAACACCCAAGCAGACGGGGATAAGTACCAGGGCGGCGTTCCGGGGGATGGTGGCCGCATAGAAGACATAGTTGATGATGGCCGTCAGAGGCGTGAGGAGAACGCGACACAGTTGATAGAACATGACGGTTGAGAAGGCCAGCGAGAGATTAGGGAGAACAACGTTCAGGCACATTGCGAAAGCGAGCTGTGACTGAAGTCAGCAATATTTCCCGGAAAATAGAAGCTGAACATGTGATATCTCTCGACTCACAGGAAGCATTTCCACCAAGCCAGCGCGTTTCGGAACAAAGGCCCCTATACTCTTGCGTGACACGATGTACAAGGTCAAGCCTGTACACACAAAATGGAAGGAGGCAAAAGACGTCTGCATCATCTTGAATGCAGGGTCGTTGAAGATGGCTTTATTGGTAAACACTATGCCAATTGTTGCCGACATGTTGATGGCCGTCCAGATGAGGAATTTCCTCCCGGCACCGGTGATGGGCTTCGGAGGCGGAGGATGTAAGGCGACATCATCCTCAAACCGGCCACGCTCGACATCTCGAGGTTCGACATCCAGGAGAGGAGTGCCATTCTCTTCAGGCTTTGAAGGCATTGGCACTTGGGGGATCGTTGATCATGTGACGTTGTCCGCAACTCAAGTAAGGTAAGGCAGGTAGGTAGGTAACGTATCCTCTTTCCCTGTCCCGGCAGAAGGATAGATAGAGACAGAATGCTGGGTAAGAGACACAGCTGGAGTCCTTCACGGGCTTCAAGGGCTTCAAGGGCTTCAATGGCTTACGAGGATGAGAGGAAGGAGGGAGGACAGGTGGTTAAGGAGCGATGTGACAATATAGACAGACGGTTGAGCGACACAGGACAGTTCATCGGGGCATTGGACAGGGCAATTGAGGATAGGCCGTGGATGGGCAGGGCGAGCTGAGGTGAGGAAAGGCGCGTATGTTGAGGTCTGTAACGAATGTCGATGTCGAGAGCTGTTCTGTTTTCGAGGATACGGGATACGAAGGACGGGTCTTGACTCTTGGCTACAGTAGTGCGTAATGCGTATCGCGTTTCCGGATACGAGGTGGCGTCACGTGATACTTCAATGATGTAAGCATTAAATGCCTGAGGCATGATTACCCCTGATCCTGTACTGTTCCTGAGACGAGTCGATGAAGTCGATATTCGACCAGCAATAGCCAAGGTAAGGTAAGGAGGTCAAGGGAAGATAGATACTCTTCTATTAGTACGATAGATCTCATCTGGAGACAATCAAGAGTACTTCTGCAGTGTCTGGACTCATAAGCTGCTCAAGGTGCACCTCACCGCTCTGGATAGCACGCACCAACTTGATACTGCACCATCATAGTCCTCGGTGACAGCGCAACTTCAATTGCCGTGGTGTGTACAGTAGAACACGACGGAGGACTATCTTGATTCTTGATTGACGTGAGATATAAAAATAAACATAAATCAGTCTTGCTTTGAGACTCTGGGGACGCTACCCTTGCAACGATCAGCTACCTGATACCGTAGTGCGCGATAGATGTCTCAATTCGTCCCGTACTGTATTATTTATAAACACTCTGTTTCCCCTCCCCCTCCACCTCCGCCCCTCACCGACTTTGCCATCCACCACAACTCCGTCTCCTCCAATCCCATCTTCCATCATCACAACAAGCAAAATGGCTGCGACAAAGCCTGTCTTTCTCATCTGGGGTGGAGAGGGCTGGGTAGCCGGCCACTTGAAGGCGCTCCTCGAGAGCCAAGGTGCGAACTGTCAAATGCCCCGAGGGTGAGCTCCCGAGCTAATACGTCGCCAGGCAAGGAGGTCCACACTACCACCGTTCGTATGCAGAACAGAGAGGCTGTCATCGCTGAGCTGGAGAGGGTGAAGCCCACACACGTTCTGAACGCTGCTGGGTCGACTGGGCGACCAAATGTCGACTGGTGTGAGGATCACAAGGAGGAGACCATCAGAAACAATGTCATTGGCACCCTGAACCTGGCCGATGCGTGCTTCTTGAAGGGTATTCACATCACCGTCTTCGCCACGGGCTGCATCTATACCTACGATGACAAGCACCCAATTGGCGGCCCTGGATACCTCGAGACCGACAAGGCCAACTTCGCCGGCTCATTCTACTCGGAAACAAAGGCACACGTCGAGGAGGTAGGTGATGCGCTTGAAGTTATGGACGTCGCGAGAACTAACATTGCGGTAGATCATGAAGTACTACACCAACTGCCTCATCCTCCGACTTCGTATGCCCGTCAGCGACGACCTCCACCCCCGTAACTTCGTCACCAAGATCTCCAAGTACGAGCGTGTCGTCGACATTCCCAACTCCAACACCATTCTCCATGATCTGCTCCCTGCCGCCATCCTTATGGCCGAGCACAAGGACACCGGTATCTACAACTTCACCAACCCAGGTGCAATCTCCCACAACGAGGTCCTCAGCCTCTTCAAGCAATACGTTCGACCCGACTTCACCTGGAAGAACTTCACTCTGGAGGAACAATCGAAGGTTATCAAGGCTGGGCGAAGCAACTGCAAGCTGGATACCACCAAGCTTATCAAGAAGCTCAAGGAGTATAACTATGAGGTTCCGGAGATTCACGAGGCTTACACGGCCTGCTTCAAGAGAATGGCTGCCGCTGGTGTGCAATAGATTTGAGATTCCCCTATTATCGAAGGCTGGTTGGGTGTTTAGAATCTAGACCCAAGGCCTGCGCAACTTGTCTTAGCAAATTCGAGATATAAATGACTTATTTATCCGTGACCACAAATGCTGACTTCGGAATGATTTTGGTGGCGCGGCTTTGGTGGCAAAGTGCACCAAGATGTAGCTAACTCGGAACTGAAAGGAAGACCACCTTTAAAAGACAATCAGCTCGGCGCCTTGAATACATAATCCTATACATGCTGTCTGAACAGAGTAGAGTCCATTTGAAATGCCTTATCCTTGGCCAAAGCGAAAGCCAGAAAATTAGCCTCGCTCTCGGTTCGCAACTCCTTCAACCTCAGCCTTACCGCCCGAACTAAATCCGCGCGGCACGTCACATATTTCTTTCTTTTGATGCGCAGAAGTCTTGACAGCCGCAAGCCTACTCTTCTGCGGAACCCATCACCATGGTCGCCGATACCACCTATTACGATGTCCTAGGGGTCAGGACAGATGCCACCGAACTAGAAATCAAGAAGGCGTATCGCAAACTAGCCATCATCACCCACCCAGGTACGGTTACGACCCTTTGTTTTGGCGCCCTCTCTGAAAGACTCATCCCCTAACCTTCGCAGACAAAAACCCCGGCGACGACACCGCGCACGAGAGATTCCAAGCTATTGGAGAAGCCTACCAGATCCTGAGCAATACCGAGTTACGAAAGCAATACGACAAGTATGGGAAGGACCAGGCTCAGCCCGCCGAGGGCTTCGCTGACCCGGCCGAGTTTTTCGGGACCATCTTTGGCGGCGACGCTTTCGTGGACCTGATCGGGGAGATCTCGCTCATGAAGGATCTGACGAAGACGATGGATATAACCACACAGGATGTCGAGGGAGAGGAATACCCTGGGGAGGCAGCCGCAAAGGAGGAAAGCCTGGCTGCTGAGAAGGCGAGACAGGCTGAGGCAGGTGGCCACCCCCCGGCGGCATCTGTTGCAGACGCTACAGATTCGCATGGAGCCTCCACTGCTGCTGCGGGCAGTGCTTCAGCGTCCGGTACTTCGACACCAAGGAGACCAGGCGGCATACCAATCAGACAGGCTATTATGGACAGGTCAGAAGAGGATGTGCAGATGAGTGCTGCTGGGTTGACGGAGGAGGAAAAGGAGCTGCGGAAGAGGGAGAAGAAGAAGGGCGGATTGACGAAAGCGCAACGTGAGGAGCTTGCTGCATACGAGAGAGAGCGGGCGCGCGTACGTCAAGAACGAGTCGAAACCCTGGCGAAGAAGTTGATCGATAGAATCAGTGTATGGACAGAAACTGACAAGGGACCCGACGTCACAAAGGCATTCCAAGAGAAGACTCGGCTTGAGGTAGAGAACTTAAAGATGGAGTCATTTGGTCTGGATATTCTTCACGCAATCGGTCAAACCTATATGCAAAAGGCCAGCGGCTTGTTAAAGTCTCAAAAGTTTCTGGGGATTGGAGGCTTCTTCTCGAGATTGAAGGACAAGGGAACCATTGCTAAGGAGACGTGGAACACCATCTCCAGCGCCATCGATGCGCAGATGACGATGGAGGAAATGGCCAAGATGGAGGAGAAAGGGGGTGAAGACTGGACAGATGAGAAGAAGATCGAGTATGAGCGTCGTGTCACAGGCAAGATCCTCACAGCCGCATGGCGCGGCAGCAAATTCGAGATCCAAGGTGTGCTACGTGATGTCTGCGACGAGGTGCTGCACGACAAGAAGATCCCCATGTCCAAGAGGCTGGAGCGCGCTCAAGCCCTGATCATCTGCGGAGAGATCTTCTCAAAGGTACGTACATACATAAACCTCCCTTTCCCCGCACATCGAAAGAAGGCAATCGCACTAACAAGCAAAAAAAAATTCCCAGGCCCAACGAAATCCAGAGGAAGAAGGCGATTACATGGCATTCGAACAACTGGTCGCTGAAGCAGCCGCCAAGAAGGAAAAGAAGAAGGACAAGCCCAAGAAGGGCGACAGCAAGCATAACCACCATGATGTCGCGGCCGATGCTCCTAATGTACCTCGTGCTTAGCCAGATAGATTCTTTGATGGATATATATGGGGTTTGGCTTCTACTTCTTCCTCTTCTTCTTTTTCTTCTTCGGCGGGGTTCGCTGGCTGGTCGTGATCTCGTTGGGTTCTCTTGAGCGTTTTGCATACGACACTTGTTTCGTTCCCCCTCCCTACTCCGATCCTACTACTCATGTCTCAAACGAGCATATCATAGGAATATGAAAATAGGAACAGGGATAGATCCGAGTTTTTCCCACTTGTATGTAGTCTCTTCATTCATGTAGTGAGGAGAAAGAGAGAGAGAGAGAGACGAGGTAATTAAGAAAAGAAAAATGAAATGGCACGGTTCACCTTTTTAATCATCAGTATCATCATCAACATCATCTGCGTGACCTAACAGCACGTTCGTTCATTCTCTTGAATTTTTGGGGGGTCGCGGCTATCTCGCTGCTGCGGAATTGTGGCGGCGATTGTATTGTATTATTATTGTAATGTAGGTAGGTATGGTGCTTTGCAGTCCCATTATTCCATTCCAATAAATCGTCCCTAAGTTCTACTCTCAAATTTCCCTTCTCTCTTTTATCTTTTTGCCCGCGCGATCCATCCATCCCGTCTAAGGTACTGACTGATTTCCTATGCACTCCTTCCCTCTCACTCCATCCATCCATCCATCCATCCATGCTTTATCAGCGCAACGATTGCGAGACGCCGGGGTTATATAGTTCACTAGGGGTATCGTAGAATAGTACAAACAAATGAGAATGAAAATCCGGTGTGGGCGATGCGCGCAGAGAGTCAGAACACGAAAAAAAAATAAGACAGAAAAAATTGACGATGATGACGATGATGATGATGAGAGCGTTTGGCTCTATCCCGCTTTCCTTTCCCGGACGCCGTCCCATGAAATAGAATCAAAAAAAGAGATCCGGCCAGAAGGGCCTGTTCGTCCAGCAATTCCCATACCCGACTGTGCTCCGTAGACTCAAGGAAACGACGTGTTGTGTAACATGTGAGTGGCGATCGATCGACCGAGATCGTGTTGGCCTCGTCCTCCCCCTATCCCGCTGTCCTCTCTCTCTGGTGAAAATAATATTAAGGTCGTGATTTTGGTGGAGGCTCGAGCGAAAAGGGTTCCCTCTGAGACCCATCCAGGACTATCCCACTGTCCCTATCATCCTTCCTTTCACCCCTCCAAACATTCGTTTCATCAGCAGCCAGGCTCATTGCCTCCTGTAACATTTTTGTATCGATATCGATCGGGTTCAGTGTTGTATGAACCGGAAGCCCGTCCTCGACATCGTCTGAGATGAGGACTCTCCCACCAAGTTCAATGTCAGAAGCTTTGACATTGTACTCGAGTGCCTTCTTCCCTTCGTTAATCAATTCTTCTGTCCAGCCCAAGCACCGCTTCAGACTCTCATTCAACTTCTGGCTATCAATGAGCAGCTGCTGGTGCTTCGATAGATCAAGCTCTAATCTCTTCTCATCCTTCTTTCTGTGCAGTAAATCGCTTGCTGCCAGGGCATCAGGGCTTAATGTGCCATCGTCCAAGGAGTCTTCTTCCGACAATTCAGGTTCTGACTCGTCTTCGAGTTCTTCCTCGCTCATATCGGAGAGCGGTGTGTTGCGTATGTCGTCTATACTCTTGAGACTAGCAGTCGATGTGCGGACTGAGGTTGTAGTAGCGAGGGAGAGGCGACCGGAACGAGACAACCTTCTATAGCGACGCAGCTCGGCGGTCTGCTTTCGCATTTCTCGTTCAAGAGTCCGATTTATAGCAGCCAGAGAGGAATTGGTAATCTCAAGGTCTAATACTTTCCTTTCTCGTCGTGCCTTAGCGGCAAGCTCATTCATTTGCTCTATTGAGCCCCCAGCCTTGATGGGACTCTGAAGTCCAGACGGGATGTCTTCAGCAGCCGGTTCGACTTCCTCTGGAATTTCATTGGGTGACGAGGGACGACCAGGGGTTGTGACAATATTCAATGGTGTAGTAGGGGGTTGTTCCTCAAAGGAATCACTGGAAACTCCCCTAGATGTTGTTTTCGAGTCCACTGAGCTTATACTGGTTGATCGAGTATGGCTGCCAGCTGTTGATGAACCATCAAAGCTCTTTTTTCGTGGTGCAGTTATGCTATTTGTGGAATGTCCTCGTCCCCCCGATTGTGGTCGAGATAACATCGGAGAGGGCATAGAAAGAGCACCTCTTTGTGACGAAGTAGAGGATGTAGACTGATTGAATTTTGATGGGGATGCAGGTCGCGGTGGTAAAGCTGTGCCAGAGCCAGATAAGCGTTTAGGAGCCATACGGGAGGACGTCGATATAGTAGAGCCCAGTCTTGGTTGAGTAAGTTGTGGAGAGGCCTGGAGATCCGGAGCACCATTGGCATGAAAGAACCGGGGTTGGGATCGTTCCTCACCCACAGTGGATGCCGGAGCGGATGAGCCTGACCTCTGCGGAGGAGGGATTGACTCGCCATTGGCATAGAAGAAGGTTGGTGAGCTTTTGGCCTGGGGCGGTGGCTTCGAGTTTTGAACGGACTTCGCATCACTTGCAAAGAAGAACTTGGAATCCGCAGAACCTGGTAGCCCTGGGCTTTTCAAATGGCCTGCTTCTGATACCGAAGTACTGAAGGTGACCGTCTGACGCTTTATTGCCATGTCTCTGTCATTCCCGCCACTTCCAAGCCCGGGCCCGTGTGCTGAGGGATCGTGGGTAACTCGAAATAGTTCACTTGCAACGGTAGCAGAAGTTCCAGTTGGAGTCCCTGATGGGGTGGAATTCGCGCTATCGACTCGAATCTTTCGCGATCCTGATCTGGGGGTAATGTTGTTGCATAGAAAGGCGGAAACCGGAGTCGAGAGGTCTTCCCTGGATGATCCCGCCTGTGCATCATGCTCGGTGCGTGTAGTCCGTCGTGCTGATGGGGTCGAACCTCCCGCGGGAACTGAGCCAGCAACTCGTGGAGTCAAAGAGGTGCCGCTGGCTATCTTTGCCGCGGCACTGAGGGTGGGCATCAGGGGGCGAGAGCCATTCTGCTTGTCGTGGGGAGGCATGGTGGCATTTCCACTTCTTGCGGTCAGTAGAGCCTTGTGCGGCAAGCGGCTCATTGCATTGTGGTCTCGAGGGTACAGGGGCGGTCGTGGAGAGCGTGAAGGGAGTTGAAGGCGAGGAGAGCGTGGAGGGGGCGGAAGACGTAGAGGAGGAGGTCTTGGGGAACGTGGGCGAGCGGACGAGTTGGCATTGGAGTCTGGGTCCTGAACCGTCGGGTGGAGAGTGTTGTTGTCGAGGAGCCTTGGAGGTGGATGGGACTGCGCGCCGACAACAGCAGAAGCGGCTCTCATTCTCCAACGCAAACACGCAAAGCCCGTCTGCACAGATACGGGAACATGGAAGGGGGATCTGATTTGGTTCTCACAGCACAAAGCACTTCAACTTTAACTTTCAACTTCACGAGGCACGGCGGGTCTTGACCGCTTTGTTTACTGTCTACTACTGTCGATAGGTCGGTAGGTCGGTAGGGGGCTGGTGGATCGTGTTTCTCAATAATTAAGTTGCCAGTCCCCTACAACCTATGGACCCCCCTCGGAATATTATTAACTAATCATCAGACACCATCGGCTTTGATACCCAAGGTCCAGAGCATAACAAGAGAGAAAACCAAAAGAGGAACACCGCATTCGACGCCCATCCTCCGCCCGCGTCGAGACACCGCCATGGCCCTCATCGGCCTCTCCCTCCTCATCGCCTCGATCTCCTTTCTCTGCTACAAGCATCCGCTCTCCTCCTGGTCCTTTCTGCCAGAATGGCTTCGGTACCCCTCGCTCCACACGGTTGGCGGCAAGGGCAACAGTGCGCCGGCCAGCCTCACCGATGATGATGACAAGACCAGCGAAGTGGCAGAGACCCCGGAAGAGGAGCCTCTCCCTCCCATTCCGAAGGACGAGAACCCCATCACCAAGGAAGAACTGGATCGCAGAGCAATGCCGCCCCCTCCGCCGCCGCCGTCCATCAAGCGGCCGATATCCACACCCCCCTCCCCACCAACGACCCCTCGAGCCTCCTCCGTCAACGCGCCCCCAGTTCCCAGCTTCACTCTCGATGATTCCCCTCCCGCGCCCTCCTTTCCCGCTCTCAACTCCGCCCAGCGCGCCTCGGGAGGCGTCCGCGGTCCTCCACGGCTAAACCAGATCCCTGCACTTCAGCCATCGTCCAGCTTTATGCCCCCACCACGGCGCTCCCCTCTTCCCAACCGCTCTCCACCATCCGCGAGTACCTCTTCGTCGTCCCTGGCATTACCACCCTCGCATAGTTCCATCCCTGCGAAGCCGCGCAAGAAGGTCTTGCTCACGCCAGGACATTCGCCTTTAGACTGGGCGCGTCTCACATCTTCCCCTAATGCGAATCTGCGGGGTTTGCCAGCTTCTACTCCATATCTGAAAGTCCCGCCTTCTTTGTTGCGCCAGTATACGGGGAGGAAGGGCAAAGATGCCTGGACAGTGCTGGGTGGGAAGGTTTACAATATAACACCGTATTTGCCCTACCATCCGGGCGGCGAGCCGGAATTGATGAAGGCGGCTGGGAGAGATGGTACCAAGCTATTTGGAGAAGTTCATCCGTGGGTCAATTGGGAGGGGATGCTAGAGGGCTGTCTTATCGGAATTGCTGTTGATGAGAGTGATATAAAACCGGGGAATTCGCCCTTGGAAGAGATGGATTGATATCTGACTTGTGCTGTAATGCGCGAAGCATGGCCGGCGAATGGAGTTTGTCTACAACATACCACAAGCGTGATAGAGGAAAAAGAGGAGACACAGTACTCGAGATAGAAAATCGGCTAGAGCTACTTTGGTATATAGACGGACAGTAGATACGATACCCCCTATTGCAGCCTCTGCAATTTCTCATCTCCTCTTCCGAAATCTGAACTTTAACTCATCGTCACTATCATCGCTCTCCTCCTTTCGTGTAAGTGCGGTTTGCCTGGCTTTCTTCGCAGGCGCCGGTTTCGTCAAGTTCGTTGGAGCAGGCCTCTTGGTTCCAGTTGATACGCTCTGAGGAGTACTCGTCTTATCTACCAACGTCTGTGATCGTTGTGACACAGCGGAAGTCACTGACTTTGGTGGTTGCTCAAGAACCTCCAGATCAGAAGATAGCTCGTGTGCTTCTACTTCTTGGGCCATTTCTTCCTCTGCTTCACTTGCCAAGATCTCCGTTGCTCTTGTAGTGGCTCGATCTTTTGCTCTTGCTTGCGACTGGGATTGGGAAGTGTCTGGCGTCTCTCGGCTCTTCCCCTTCTTTTTCTTACGTTCAGCGTCACCTTCGAGCCAGTAGTCATCTCCAATACCGAAATCCTTCTTCTTGACCTCCTCGAGAGGAACAATGACGCGATGAAAACTCCTTACACTTCCGCCCTCCTCCCCACGACGACGGAATTTCTTGAAGTTCTTCCGCCCATTCCACCTATCATCCCAACGATCACTCTCATCCGCATGAGCTGCACGTACTGGAGGGGGTGGTCGTGTGACTTCCATTTCTTCGACTATGGCCAGATTTCGGATTGCCTCGATGTCCATTCCATCCATTGCTTTTTCCAAGGCTTCCCGTTCGGCCTTTGCTAGTTCCTCGGCCTTTTCCCGTTGCCGGCGGGCGACCTCGAGGATATCAACCTCCTTCTTAATTTTTGGGGGTTCTGGTTTTGGTATTGGTTTCTCCTCTATTACCTGAGCTGGAGGCGTAGATTCGCCTCTTCGATGTCGCTCAGCATCATCGGCCAGACGACGTTTCTTCAGTGCCGCTGCCGCTGGTGCTAGCTGTTCCATAATGTCTTCGTCCTCCTCCTCATAATCCATTGGAGGGGTTATCCGCTTTCGACCAGATCTGGTTTGTGTTGCTTCGGGTTGAGGTTCCTCTTGATCAATCACCATTTCTGGATCCTGAGATACAAATAAACCCTGTGATTGAGACTCTTCAGCAGGGGGTTGATCCACAGTTGTATACTCGGGGATAGAATTGAGATTTACGGGGGCGCTAAATTTATTTTCATCGTCGTCGTCGAATCCTTTGAATCGGGTAGTCACAGTTCGTCGAGATCTGCCTCTCCTTGCAGGTTCTGGTGGAGCTTCTTGTGCGGGCGTTGGAGTTGGAGCAGGTTGTGAGATCTGGGGTGTTTGAGATGTCGTAGCAATAGCTAAACACGGTCAGTATCTATACTTAGGTGCGAACAAAGATACCTACCATGGGATGGGGGCGGTGGCATAGTCTCGGATGGTTCCAGCTCAAGAGGTCTTCGCAGCACACTAGCATCATTGCCGAGTATAGCATCTAGAAACTCGTTCTGCTCGATAAGGCGGTGGTCCAATTTGAGGGCAACCTGTCTGTTGAAATCGGAAAACCATTCTGAGCCCGGCCCCTTCACTGGATTGAACCTGACGACAACCACTCCTTTTCCTTCACTACCATCCTCAAATTCCCCAAGGCCTTTCTCACCAGCAACCTGTTTGACGTACCTCACGAAGTCATCGACCTCGGTCTCGTCAGGAATTACCTCTCGGAAATATGCCTTACCACATCCTTCGGTGATGGGGGCAAAAAGAATGTCGAATTGTCGCTTCTCATAAAATATAAATGAGTATCCGTCAAAGACATTCTGTCGGTCCGGATTTGGAGCATATGCAGTCTCGTCCCTTTCCGTCGGTTCTTCTCCGCGTGGAGGGAGATATCGGAGTGGGTCAGGAAAGTTCTGAACCCAATCCTCCTCCAGGGGGGATTTCGCTATTCCATCCTCTTCCGATGAAGGGACCGGAGTAGTTGCAGCAACAATGGCATTGATGAAGCTATCATTATGCACAATGTACTTGCCATCAATCAACGCTTGCAACCCTTTTGGGGTATTCCGTTTCTTAGCGACAAGATGAGTTGTCAACCCCCGTTGGTATTCGACAAGGACTTTAATGTCCAGGGGGCCGAGACGCTTGTAAAGTGCTGTATACGGATCCGCTTTTGCTTCTTTGAGGCTGAAGGAAAAGGTCAATGTGATTGGGACCCAGGTGAATCTAGGAAGCATCAGCAGCCGAAATATGCATCTGATTGGGTATATGTACATAAAAGGGTGTTTGTGTTTTCCAAGAGTGACAGAATTTCTGTCCCTCTCTAACACACGAGTCTGGCCTCTGATCTGATCTCCGTTCACCACTGTTCCTATTTTAGTGTCCAGGTCCACTAACGTCACTTGTGAGCGGGTTTTGGGGTTGGCCTTAAACTGATATGAGTATTAAATAACGCTTTTGTCTTCGGGGCTTCTCACACAATCATCGGGCCCAACTACTCCCACCTCCACTGTCAGATGTCGTCTAGAGATCGTCTTGTCATTAATAGCGAATCGTCCGGCTATGATCGTCAGCTGTGGACATATATATGGACATCGATCGTACCCTCTGTTTGAGTTCTACCGAAGAGGAACTTCTTTCCAGGGCGAAGCCACAGCTTCTTACCTAGGTACAAAAAATCAGCGCGTTACCAAACTCGGGGGAATTTGGGCACTCCTTACCCTTCAAGGCGTCCCCTTCCGTCTCAAGAACCCACATCTGTATGGCTTCAAGGACGTGTTCAAGGCTGAAGATTATAAAGCCATGTGGATGGGCGTCGTCGTGATGAAACCGGAAGAGACGATGTAGCAGTTGTTGGAAAGACGTGCGCGGCACGAGATGGCACGCGGTATCACGTGGAGATAAGATAAGATAGTCGTCATTACCGGGTGGCGTTGTCTCTCGTTGCTATGGAGAGCTCTTCAACTGCGGGGTCATCATTCATGGGTCAACCAAGAATTTGATTCAACAACCAGAATCTTTTCAATCCACCTACACAAGAGGACAATTGGAACTGTCCCATCTTTTTCTTGGAGTACTCCACATATCCACATATTCTTGATCAATAACTACACGCATAAGCTTTCAACCATTCTACCCTCAGTAAACATGGCGGCCCAAGTCGAACAGACCCTCATCGATTCAACTCCCATTTCACCCATCAGGCCAAACCACGTCCGCCAGAACTCCCTTGAGAAGCACCTACAGACTCGGCCCAATCCACAGGAACTCAAGGATCGACACATCCTTCTCGACATCAATGCTGCCCCGTGAGTGTCCATAGGACGCCTTACCGGGTGGGAGCCTACCTGACTAACTACCGGATAACTAGAGCTCTGCAATCAGTCGCTCATGATTTGGAGCGCCAACGAGCAACTGACAGTCTGAAGAAAGGTTTGGAGAGACGACCTCATCGCGAGGACCTCGTTGAACGTATGCTCTTCAATTCGTCTATGAACTTCGGTTTGGTTATTAATTGCTCGATTCCACAGGCCACATCCTTCCAGATTCCACGGCTGCTCCAGCAATCCAAGGCCACCAGAAGGAGCTGGAGATGCGTATGCGTGCAGACAGCTTGAATGAGAAGATCTCCCATCGGCCCAAGCCGGAAGATTTGATTAAGCAGGGAGTCCTGCATGAAGATCCGACTTCTCCGGTTGAGACGTACGAGGAGAAGATGGAGGATGAATATGCTAAGCGTGAAGGAGGTGCTTGATCTCAATTTTATGGCGCAAGGTGGATTGGAAAAGGACACAGGATGGAATAATGTAACTTGTAACGAATAGCTATGGTCAGGTTGTCGCGTTTTCATTTTGTATGTGGGACTGGATATAAAATTCTCCTTTCTTCATTTATCTCCTTCAATCGTGGAAACTTGTTTCTTCCAAGAACCTAAATAACCAATTAACCAGATTCCACTTGATAATTGGACAGATCAAGGGTTTAACGAGGTACATTGGTTCAAAGAATCTTCTTGTCAATTGTCATCAAACCATAATATTTGGGATCTTACCTACAACTTTTGGAGGGGGGGCTGGAATTCTCCTGACAAGAATAAATATCGACATAAAACGACCCTTTGTATGCCGATAGTGTGCCCTGGGGAAGGATCTCGTCAAGTTATACGTTATATCGTACAAAGTCGAGATTTCTTCTCATTATCATATAATACAGTCTACCTATGTTACATGGTCCTCCCATATGTTTGCTCTCCCATACCTAGTTTTATGCAGTAAATGACAAGTACATGACTCCGTAGGCTATGGAACTTGCCACGCGTGTGATAGTATTAACGCAACGCACCATACAGACAGCAATGGTATCCATCTACTTCTTATGTCTATCCGCTTGGGCCTTCTCGTGTTTCGCGACGAGCTCTTTCCTGTAAATTTGGTCAGCATCGAGGGAAGACAAAGAGGAGAAAAGCGACCACTTACTGTAGCTGCCCTGGCGCCGGGCTATAATGACTGAACTCCATACCAAACTCCCCCTTACCCTGGGTTGCAGCTCTCAATTGGGAGCTAAAGCCAAACATTGCATTCAAACTGCAGTCAGCAGTCAAGGTGAAATCCTCCGGGCCGATTTCAGTGTCGCTGATAATCGCATTTCTCTTATTCAAAAGCCCCACGATGTTTCCTTGGAACTCATTTGGTGCCGTGATAGTTGTCTTCATCATAGGCTCCAGGACCTGAGGTTTTGCTTCCTTGAAAGCTTTGCGGAAAGCCTGTTGGGTTGCATTCTTGAAAGCCATTTCCGAGGAATCGGTCATATGGGTAGCACCATCGTTGATGATCATAGTGGTTCCCAAAACAGGGTGCCCAATAAGCGGACCCTTTTCACAAGAAGCGAGGAAACCTTTCTCGCAAGCAAACAGGAATTTCTCCGAGATTGAACCACCAGTAACTTGTTCCTCGAATTTGGATGGACCATAACCGTTCGGTCCAGGCTCGATCGGTTCCATGTACCCTACAACCCTAGCATAATCACCAGCACCTCCAGTCTGCTTCTTGAGGGTATGATCGAATTTGACATGTTGGGTGATGGTCTCTCGGTAGGCGACCTGTGGTTGACCCGTCTCAACCTCGACTTTGTATTCTCGACGCATACGCTCAACATAGATATCGAGATGCAATTCACCCATTCCTGAGATGATGGTTTCTTGACTTTCCGCATCGACATGAACTCTGAAAGTAGGATCTTCGCGCTGGAAGCGATTCATGGCTTTGCTGAAGTTGGCTGTGTCCTTCGTGGATTTGGGCTTAATAGACAATGAAATGACGGGATCAGGAACGAACATGGAGGACATCGAATATGGCAGTCCTCCATCAGTGAAAGTATCACCAGATGCGCAGTCAACGCCGAACACAGCGCAGATCTCTCCAGCACCAATTTCTGGTACTTCTTCCATCTCATTGGAGTGCATTCGCACGATTCGAGGAACCTTAACTCTCTTGTCTGTTCTTGCGTTGAAGACATTCATACCCTTCTTCAATGTTCCCTGGTAGACTCGGATGTAGGTCAACTGCCCGTAATTACTCTCCTCAAGCTTGAAAGCCAAACCCACAAATGGTAGTGAGTTATAAGAGACCAGTTTGACTGGAGCTTCGTCTCTTCGCTTATCGAGAGCCAAGTTCTCAACCTCTGAAGGGTTTGGGAGGTAATCGCAGACAGCATCCAACATTGGCTGGACGGACTTGTCAGCCAATGCACTTCCCATCAAGACCGGCGTGAATTTCAAAGCAATGGTTGCTCGTCGAATAGCCGCCTTAATCTGTTCAGGGGTAGGTGTCCTCTCGTCCAGGAAGATTTCTGCAATCTCGTCATCGACATCAGCCAATGTCTCGATTAAGACTGCCCTCTTCTCCTCCGCCAGCTTCTTGACATCTGCCGGAATTTCGTCAGTTTCCCTGATGATCTCCCCCTTGGGTCCCTCATTGTAGATTGCTTTCATTCTTATCAGATCTACGACGCCCTGGAAGTTGTCTTCTGATCCGATAGGTACCTGCACAGCGGCGGCGGTCAATCGCAGCTTTTGGTTGATCTGTTCCACAGCCTTGAACGGATTCGCTCCCATTCGGTCCATTTTGTTCACGAAACTGATCCGAGGTACGTTATATCTTCGCATTTGTCTGTCAACTGTAATAGTCTGACTTTGGACACCGCTCACGGCGCACAGAATCATGACTGCTCCATCCAGGACTCGTAAAGCTCGCTCTACCTCGATTGTGAAGTCGATGTGGCCCGGCGTATCAATCAAGTTGAGGTGATATTTCTCCTCCTTTCCATTCTCGACTTTCACCCAGTCGCAAAATGTAGCTGCTGATTGAATTGTAATTCCTTTCTCTCTTTCCAACTCCATGGAATCCATTTTTGCGCCGACTGCATCTTTTCCTCGGACTTCGTGGATGGCATTGATTCGACCAGTATAGAAGAGTACTCGTTCCGTGGCTGTCGTCTTACCACTGTCGATATGTGCCTGTAAAATCCGAGTCAGTCTTTGCTCACATCCGCGCCTCTGTTAACATACTGCTATACCAATATTTCTCAGCCTCGCCAGTCTTCCCCTTTCCACCTCGTCCAAGTTGTCTATAATTGTCTCCTGGGTCAGGGCGGATGGATCTGCAGCCGCTTGTTTCAATCTGTACACGTCAGATTCTGCTCAAAAGGCGTGAATTGTCCCAAGTACCCAAGTTCTAGGCGCTTCAATGCTTGGTCCTGTACTATTTTCTGCTTCCGGAGTACAAGTTCAAACAAGAAAAATCCAGGGGAGATAGAGAATAACCAACTTACACAGATTCTGCAACGCTTGCTCTTGCAATCCTCGATTGCGAAAAGTATCTCTGTGTCCCCAAGCCCCGTCCAGCTCCGCCAACCAATCCGCGACTCGATGCATTCAAGCACAGAAACCTTGGTTTCGATGCGCACCCTCGCAGAGAGCCAAGCGGAGCCTCGGCCAACGCGGCAGCTCTGGCAAGTCTATGTACCCTCATGATTGTTGGCTCAGTTGATCGATGGGCTACCCAAGGACACTCGTCTTTCGCGACTTGAACTTTTTGACAAAAATTGCCGAGACCCCTGTATAGACCACGTGACACCGTGTCGTACTACAAATCGCGAGTCGATCATCCAGGCTCACGAAACCAATGCCGCCACTACGATAAGAACTCGCGCAGATGGCCAGGTTATCGAGGGCGCATGCACGGGAAACAGAGTACAGTAGTTGCTCTTCGACGAGTGCGAGATGACGGCAGAATCTCCACCGGAAGAAAAACTCCCCAATGAGCACGATACACTCAAATACTCTCTCTTGGGCCCATCATTGACAAAGTCAGGTCAGGATAATGTTGACCAGCAGAAGGTGAGTCAACATTAATCAGTGTGAGAGTATAGAAACTCATAAGGTCTTAGGTCTCCGAAATCATCTATAATGCCTCCAAAGGATCCAAGTACTTCAACAATGAGGAGGCTCGAGACAAACAACTTACGCAGAAGATCGAACGAATACTCGCGAAGAAGAGCCAGCTCGAAAAGCTAGACCTGAGTCATGATCGGAGGAAGGCAGATGAATATATTGCAGAGCTCGAGTTGTCCCGCGACTTATCCCAAACGATAGTGCATGTCGATTGCGATGCCTTCTACGCTGCCGTGGAAGAACTCGATCGGCCTGAGTTGAAGGAGGTTCCTTTTGCGGTTGGAAAGGGTGTTCTCACAACATGCAATTACCAAGCAAGGAAATTCGGCTGTAGGAGCGGGATGGCCTCATTTGTGGCCAAGAAGCTCTGTCCGCAACTTATCCAAATCCCAATGAATTTCGACAAGTATAAAGCAAAAGCACAAGAGGTCCGCGAGATTCTTGTCGATTACGACCCGCGATTTGAAAGTGCGAGCATAGACGAAGCATACCTCAATATCACCGAATATTGCTTGAATAATGACGTCGGTCCAGAAGAAGCAGTTGAACAGCTGAGACGAGAAGTTCACGAGAAGACCAAGATCACGATATCTGCTGGCATTGCTGCAAATGCCAAATTGGCGAAAATCTGTTCCAATAAAAATAAGCCGAACGGACAATTTCGACTTCCTAGTGATAGGAATAGCATTATGACATTCATGCGAGATCTCCCTGTTCGAAAAGTTAACGGGGTTGGGCGAGTCTTTGAGAGGGAGCTTGGCTCAATAGGTGTCAAGACTTGCGGAGACATTTATGAATACCGGCATTATCTTTCAAGGCTCTTTGGTGAGAAGGCATTCGTCTTCCTTATTCAATGCTACCTCGGTTTGGGACGAACAAAGATCCAACCCGCAGAGGAGTACGAGCGGAAGAGTGTTGGAACGGAGAGCACATTTGGTGAAATGCAGGACCCCACGGCAATACGCAACAAGCTACGGTCGACAGCCGAAGAATTGGAGAAGGATATGCAGCGGACACAGTTCAAAGGTCGAACGCTGTGTCTAAAAGTCAAATTACATACTTTCGAAGTCATTACTAGGCAAGTGGTTCCTCCGAAGGCCATATATCTGGCTGAGGACTTGTATAAGTACTCGTTGCCTATGCTCGCAAAGTTAGAGCAGGAATTTCCAGGTTTAAAACTACGGCTCCTGGGTCTTAGGTGTACCCATCTCGTTAGTATGAAAAAACCAGATACCATGTCCTTCTTTGGATTCAAAACGAGAACTTCTACCGACACAGGTGAGGCTAGCGATGATCAACCAGATAATGGGAAGAGAAAATCAGATGCCCTCGAAGATGGACAATGGGAGACATGGCCTGCTGAACGCCTATTTGAGGATGCTGAACGCCAAGAGCGTGAGGACGAGTTCCAAGAACTGGAAAAGCTCAGTCAGGAGGTTGATAAACAGAGGCAGCACGGTAAAGAGATAGTGCCAAATCCGAAGAAAGAAGCAACACCAGAGGAATGGTGGGACTGTCCAATCTGTCTGAGACCGCAAACACCCAACGAGAAGAAATTTAACGAGCACATAGATCTCTGCCTTTCGCGACAGACGATCAGAGATGCTGTTCAAGAAACAGCCACAAAAATTCCAGCACGAGACCATACGCCGGCCCCAAAGAGAGTGAAAACTGAGCGGGGAAAGGACAAATCTGTAATAGCGGTTGATCCAAAGCAGCGCCGGCTATGTTTTGGTTGAGATGTTTTCAATATCCCAACCGCTCGCAGTGAGCGAGCGGAAAGGGAAAATCACGAAAGCTCCATTGCGGAGTTGAACATCATTGTAGTGACATTTTAGTAGTCACCGAGGCTAGAATCCTGAGATAGGAAAGCCCATAGGATATGACGGGATGCACTCGTGAGCACTGGAATCCGGCGGAGTGGCGTTTTGGTTGCGGGTTTGGAGATGGAATTTATAGACTCGGCGCCCTCAGGTATACTGGGCTGAATTGAGCTTATGAAACTAGTTAAGATTCTCTAGGAAAAATTCCTCCTTCATGAATCCATACCAAGCCAAGCAAAGTAACCCAGTCTTCCTTTTCCAAGCTGCCCAAGTCATTCCTTTCTTCCCAGCCTAGTAACGACGGGTTCCAGACCAGCCTCCACCCTCGACGCGAATCCAAAGACGCCGATATCTTAAGCCCAGGAAGATTCATAGTAGGCATCAGCATACTTACCTTACTGTTGTGTTATGTTATGTATTTTCCTTTTCTTACCTCCATTTTTACTCCTCCTGCACCCCTCTCCTCTCTCCCCCCCCAAAATCCACCAATAACCCCTTTTTCTTCTGTGCCGAGGTGGATATCACATATCTTATTAGATAGAGCAAAAACTTGTACATACGACCATAGACTGAGGATAACAGGCCATCCCGTCCGCTCTGGCAATTCTTAAGCCTCAGATCGGTAGATTAGTAGTTGAGTCGGTGACGATCAGCGAATACCTACTGTTGTATGTTTTTTTTTCGTGTTTTATGTTTTTGTTTTTTTTGGGG